ATGAGATGAGAAAGGGCGATGATAAGCTGGCTCTTTCAGGATAAAGAAAACTGCACGCAGGAAAAATTCTATCTTTCTGATTCCATCTCCAAAATGACCAGTGATATTTTTCAATAAATTCACTGCGGTGGATATAATAACGCATTTATTTAGAAAACCTTACTAAATGAGCAGAATAATGGGTACGTATACCTACATTCGAAGCATGGCTGATCCGTATTTGCGACTTGCTTGGTTTAAAACTGCAAACATTTCCTCGGAGCCAATCTGGACATCAGAGATTGCACGAAAGAGGTGGCTACACGTAAAAGATTGAACTCACCATTCCGCATTTCTTTCTCGAGAAAGATAGTTTTTGAGTTCTGGTTCTGGTTGGATTTTCACCCTCCTCGCTCCAACTATAACTTTCACTCCTTTCTCTGAGCGGCATTGGTGGTGGTGGTGGTGGCACAATGCTCAAGTTCTATTTCCCCTTTCTCGTCGTCCCTTCATTGTGCATCACAATTTCCACGAAAACATCACCAACAACCTGGATTGCCAAGTTGGTTGGACTTTTCTGCTACAAAACTCTCCCTATATTCTTGCGATCAGATATTTTGGAGATCTTCCCATCCGAAGAATCCACTCTGTGAGGATGTATGTGAATATCTACAAATGCAGCGCAGTTTTGCTTACTGGATTAGTGTTTATTCAATTCCTTTGGATAAAAGCGATCAAATTGCTTAACCGAGAAACACATAATTTTATCATCATCATCACAAAGCAATTTATTTCATAATGCACTAATCCTAAGAACTGCAAACTATAATTCTGGCTTATATAAACGTAAAAGTTACCTCTTATATAACTGCCAGCGTGCAAAAATACAAATCAAAACTTGCCCATACTTTGATAAACAACTGATCACAACTTCCCACATATAACGGAATGAGAACTTGTTGAGAAAATAAATAAGTGTTATTCGTCCTTACCATAATCCTGGCCTGCTGCGTATATGCTTGTATCCATGTCTTTGTGTGTGTACATGTGTCACTCCGTCTGACTTCCGCAGTAGCATGGCGTCCAACTAAATTCCGTCTGAAAGAATGTGACATTGTGCAAGAAACGAATGGGGGAGCAATTCCTTGTGCATGGAGAATTTGGTGAAGCCATGTTGCCTCAACAAACAGGAAGAAGGAAGCCTGGCACACTTTGTTCGCTGCTCCTTCCGGAATCATTGGATACACTTTAACATCCATAAATTTATATATCCACACACACACTGTCACCCCGTCTCCCATCAAATTCAGCACACACACATTCCAATAAACGGCTTATTTGTATCTCAATCAGGCGCCTCACCCGTGGTGGCTACTTAGCATGCGATTGTGTCAGATATGATTTTAGGAAGGGTGACCCGTTGCTTGCAGTGGGTTCGGTCATCTTTATGTCATCCCTCCCTCACAGCTCGAAATCCACAAAGAAGAACTGCACAAGACAAAAGAGAAACCAAACGGATGGAGAAAGTACACGAGTTGCAGCAGCCAAGGCCCAGTGAAGCAAGTGATGAGACAGAGAAAGCGAGAAAAAAGCTGGCCAACTAAACAAGGCCAAAATCTTAATCCTAATTCAATTCCACGAGCCCTCTATCCATCCATCTCTTCTTGAGCAAGGGTGTACTGGGTATAGGCAAGGATATGTATGTCCGTATGGCTATTTGCTCCATGCAAATCTTTTATTTCACCCAAAGAAAATAGGAGACGTGGACCAGATAAGAATTGTGCGAAAAAAGTGAGGGCAGCCAACCAAACCCAGGAACAATGGCTACTCACTCGTGTGACTTTCTCTCTTGGACACTTTTTTGCCTCACTTTTCCAGCTTTTTGCCACCATCAATGTTCCACCAGCGCAACTTTCCCCGTTGGAAGAAGAATAAGAACAAGAAGAAGACTGCTCTCTCAGTGCAGTGATTTCAAGAAACCCTAAAACCATCAGCAGCTTCTGGCTGCACATTACGGCAGCAGTTGTACCTTTGGGTCGGTTTTATAATTATCTCGTCCACCTTCTCCCCTACTTTTGCCACTCGGCGGCTAAATTACATCCTTTTTTGTCCCCTCCACACCACTAACAACATTGACAGTTCTATATTTGCCCACTAATTAGCGGTGTGGCTAAAATGTACTTTCTTTTTAACTCGACTCCATAGTCGGGAAGAGAGATAAAGGGGAAAAAGGAGAAAGGAACAGAGTGAAAGCGATGCAGGGGTTAAACTAGCAGATTTTTTTCTTGTGGCACCAAATAACTTCTTTTTCACCATTTATTTTTATACTCATACATCACGAGGTGCAAATGCAGGGAATTGTAATTCCATAGAATAATCATAAATCACAGAATGAACAATACCTCCTTGAGAAGAAGAAGATGATTGAACATTGCTTTGCTAAGATTTCCTCCCAACCGTTCACTCACAGTGGTTGAGATGTCGAACGTAAATATGATTAAGGGTCGAAATCTTTAGGAATAATTCAAATGGGAATTCATCTGGGAGGAGGGAAAACAGTTTTTGATTATGCATTGATCTATTTCGTTCAGGAATAGAAACAAATTTAAAATTGTGTGTAGGTGCATTTCCATATGTCATTTCCATATGTCAGTAGTTCGAGGAATATTCAGAACCGAAATTTATTGTGTGCATCGATTTATATAAAAAATCTGCACAGAACTGGTTTACGATATCTATCCTTAAACCTTTTGTACTTCGAGGTCAATTTAGAAAAAAAAGTATTCTAAAAAATATCTATGAGCTAAAAAACTTATATTTCCAAACTATATTTTTTTCATCAAAATTATGTAACTGGGTGGATCAACCCTAGAAAAATTGCATGTTATCCCCACGTATCCATAATAAAGCATGCATCCCATCGTAATAACTCTACAACTCTGCAGGATCTGGGTTTACTGTTTTGTTCTGCATGCATATCTGAGCGACAAACGATCGCTGGTACACTTACATACTTGGCAGATTTAAAAGCACCAAAATCCCATTGATCGAATCTTTCATCGTCCCATTCCTTCCGCTCCTGCCACTATAAATTCATTGCTTTCTACAATTCTGTAATATCTCCGGTTGAGGAAATGGAAACAAAAATTTCAGGCTCTCTGATGCCACCACTACATTTTGCTAGTAGATTCATGGATGCATGTTCCACTCTGTCGTGTACGTTGAACTGCATCCCCGAGGTGTGAATGGGGTAGATTTATTTCTTCTTTTTCCCACAGAGGCTGATAATCATTCCCACAATCTTGCATCTGGCGACGGGGCACAGTTATAGGAATAATGTTCCCAAAAAGTGTCTTCCCGTTTAGACGGCCGTTGTTTTGGATGAGCGTGTTGGATAAGAGAGTTCAGGTGAAAGCAAAGTTGATACCAAGGTGCGCACCATTGAATGAGGTGAATATGACGGGAATTCATTCAGCTACCAAAGCCCAATCCCCTGATCAAACTTTTAAATTATTTATCAGTGTGAACAATAATAAGGAATTCAGCAGTCTCTTTTCTCCCACTGGGTTGAAGATCTCGAGCTGAAAAAGACATTTCACTTTGGAAACGAGAGCATCCATCTCAAAGACTTTCTCATCATTTTGAAATTGAAAAGGACAGTTTGGACAGTGGTCTGGTGGGCTATCTTGGTGTGAGATGGTTTAGTAGCAGTTTACGAAATACCTTATTTCATTTGAAAGCTTGCCTCGATTAGACGAATGCTCGCTAGAAGATCTTTTCACACTGTGATATTGACAATGGCGTGAAAATTTTAGAAATTGCTTTCTGGGGGCACGCGCAAGTTGCACCACTGAATTTCTGAAATAAATTAAAGCAACGACATGGTTTTTGGTATCGTAAAATGTCTCAATTTTTTAAGTAGCGTCTGTTCGTACAGCGTGAATACACGTCTTCATTACCGAAAGACATATGAAGGGCGGTTCCAACATGATTTGCGAATATCTCTCTCATCATCCTGCCTTCCGTCTTCTGCTGGTGCGACTTACTTGTGGCATGTTTAGTGGGATATTGAGCAGAAAGAGCGCTAAGTATCGTAGGAGGACGACGGAAGTACTTGTGGAGATTATGAGGAAAGTGCTTTCTCAAGAAGAAAAGGAATGTCATTGATCATCATCGACCTCTTTGGTTTGGAAAGCCAAGGATTTATTAATCCATTGGATTCGTTTGATGACATTGGAGCGTCGCTGTCACATGAAACTCACCACCACCTCTGCAACCCAGCACGAGGAACAGACACGCTGCTGCTTGCTTTGCGAGGCTCCCAGACGCCGTGGTTGCTTGATGGTCAGGAGAGGAGATAGGTATCTATGCCAAAATCAGGGACAGGCGAAGAAACCCACATATCATCACGGGCCAAACGGAAAACCAAGCAGGACGGTTGAGTGGGTTTAGCAGGGATGGCGACGGAACGGCCAAATTTTAACTTTGCAATCCCACATCTTCTTCTTCTTCTCCCCCACAATTCCTTTTGGCATTCTTTTCTCCATGCGACTTTCACTGCCCACACAGAAGGATTCCTTCCCCGTCCCGCGCGTAGGTCTGACTGCGTGAAGAAGTCCTATTTTTAGAATATGTTCCTCCATTTAATTTCTATTTTCACAACTCGAAATGAGCTTACTAGTTTTAAACCCTTTGGAGAATGTGAGACTAAAAGTTTTGCGTCAACTTTATTTCTCATCGTTTAAACTCTTTCCACTCGGCATGCTTTCCTTTCCTGCTTTCTAATCCTCTCATTCCACCTCATCGACGCTAAATAGTCGTGCTTACACGTAAGTAAGTAAGCGACTTTCTCTTTTCCTGCCATGAATTGCGTGAGTGTCATGCTACGTATGTACATATTGTGCACATATTATTTGAGTATTTACACCGTGTAACTTTCACCACTAATAAATAAGCGTCCCCATATAAAAATTACGTTTACCACAGGTTTTATGATATTCATTTACTTGTCTTAATTTCAGGTGAGCTGAAGTATGGCGAAGGTCGCCGAGATCGGATGGGTGAAGGTCTAAACGTTCAAATCGAGGCTCCCAGCTCTGTCCGTGTGGGTGAGACGGTGGTTCTGAAATGCCTTTACGACCTGGGCGGAGATTCCCTCTACACGATGAAATGGTACCGCGGACCTGACGAATTCTATCGCTTCACGCCAAAGGAATCGCCTCCCGTCAAAACCTTCCCTTCACCAGGTCTCTCGATCGATGTAAGTTTCCGAAAATAGTGGAAATCAGTGAGGATCGAGTTAATGACTATCAACAACTAATACTAATTAATCAACTTTTTTTAACAGCTAGCAAACTCGAACGCGACACATTTGACTTTGCAGAGGGCTGATCTTTCATTATCTGGGCGGTACGATTGCGAAGGTAGGAGAATTGAGTAGTAAAAGTGATCTACTTCTGCATGCACGTGGTTATGGGTGCGTCGGGAACAATGAAAACGACGTTTTTTGAAATGAATTGTGTTTGTATCAAACATTTTTAAAGTATTAATCATGCTTTGAATTTCTATATTTCCAGTTACTACCGACTTTCCAAATGTCATTGCCAACGTGAAGCAAGTTTACTTGAGAGTCATAGGTGAGCAGGAACTTTACTAACTTTCGATTCTTTTCCAGTTCAGATTTATGTCGTCCGGAGTGAAAATAATGGTTTCCTTCCTCTCGTGTTTACTAACACTGTGTGCCTTTTGAGAGAATCTACGGCTCTGTTTAAACATATTCAACACGCCAAAAACTATTAAATTTCCGTTTTTCTACTCAACTTTTCTCGGGTCGAATCCCACGTTTTACAAAGTTTCCTACGGCGGAGTTGACTTAAAATATGGAGGGAGAGAGTTGGTGAGATTGACATAATGAAATCATTTTGGCTCATTATTCCGAACCAATTATCCTAATTTTTAATTTCCGGGAAGTGGTTGGAGTGAATATGTATCCCGTTTGTTATGCAATAGTTATGCTTTACACGAATGTGTAGAATTTCGAAAATGTGTTCACGATAAAAATGAAACCCATAAAACAGGATTCCAGATTTGAGTCATGAGTTAACAAAACTACGTCGGCATGCTATGCAATTGCAGTTTTGAGCAAGTGTCGATCCGTATTTTTTCTGATGAGCTCGCATTTTATACAGAAAACCCGCACGACCTGTCGGCCCATCTCCTCCTCCTCCGTAGATACGCAGTAGGCTAAAAATTATTCTTTTTTTCACCAAAGAGCATAGGTCGTAAATGGGCTTGGAGATAATGTATGGTCGTGAAGGTATCTATTTATGAATGTCCACCGACTTTGTAATGGAAATTGGCGTGAGAGCCCGGGCCAACAGAAGGGACACCATGCCAGCGCACTAAAACTGTCAACTCAATGTGTGCAGAGGCTGTTGTGGCTATTTTATTAGCACGTGTGTGAACACAAAACGGCCATGAAAGAGCATTTTGTCCGCAACAATGCGGAAAGTGTCCGTAATTGTGTATTTGCTTGCACCAATTCAATCCTCCTCCGCCACCACAGGAGACAGGATACCAATTTCTATGCATTCATGTTGTCAGATAGGAATGGGGTGTGAATCATATGGAAGAATCTAATTGCAACCATTGTTAACTTATTGAGCCAATTTTTACTTTATCCGCAATACGATTACACAACGTCCATATGGAGGTTTTAGGCAGAGGAAAGTTGCACACACACATAACTTGGAGTTGCATAAGTACTATGCATAATTAAATAGTAGTACGCACTCAATTTCCACAAAGTAACCGCAATTCCATTAAAACGCCTCCTGCAATACGTACTATTTGCTCACTTATTTTCGCACTTGAAATAAAATCTGCATCAATTTTCCATGAACAATATTTTCTCAACTCTTGAGAGCACCTAGAAGTTGGGTGAAAGTAACTTTTGAAATTCGTTGATTTTGTTGCGTGGCGTGGCGTGGGATGGGAAAGTGAAGGAGAAAGTTGCTTCTCCTCGGCAGTTATCCTCCTGGCTGATGATTACGAGTATGGGTGCTCTCAGCACATTATTATTATACAGCCCATTAACGACACGAGGAGTGGAGTGGGCACTATAGCCGTTTCATTTTCATGACAAATAATTCCACTTCTGACCGCACACTCGGCAGATTTATGAAGTGTGTGCTATGTATGTATGCACGTCGGGTTGGTCACTTTCCCTCTTTTTGCCCACAATCAATAGGGCAGACAGCAGCCCAACTATCCCAAAGTAATAGAAATGTTTGCATTCTTTATGCAGTTTCGCATACTTACAATGCGATGGTGTGAAGTGTAACCCTCCGATTTGGCTGAAATTTTAAAATTAGGTGGTCCAAGCCAATACAACTAACGTTTCTTCAGGCAGTTTGTGCGATGGTGAGAGTTACTCAAAATATTTGAGGTCAAAGTTCAAAAAACGGCCGACTTTTTTCAGGCGGAGTGAGAAAACTCCACTTCCATTCTCTTCCCCTCGCTTTGATTTTATTCAGGCGTCTCGCTCATGCATACGCCTTCATGCTCAAGCACAAGCTTTGATGCAAAATAATAAAAAATAAACATTATTAATTATAGCTTAAAGAGCAATTAATACGCATTATACATACTTAATTTAATTTATAATTAAATAAGTGAGATTTTTACTTATTTCTAGTACAAATTTACATAAAAGTTAATTTATAATTTCACCAACGGCAAATAAACATGGAAAAACTTAACTTGCTTTCCATTTCGAAAGCGTTGGTTATTCTAATATCCAATTATATATTAATATTTTAAATGCTCCTGTGATTCGATATTGTTGGTACTCAAGCGGATCATGGGGTGATGACGAAAAGCCCGAGTTTAAAAATGTAAGCGAAGTTTGTTTTAGAGAAAAAAATATTAGTTGCGACCTGAATTGTGGCAATCCCACATTCATCAAATTCAGCTGGTGCAGTTTATCGTATTGTTTTGTGGACTTTTATGAAAATAATCATATAGTCACATGTGGAATGAATAATTAATATTTTTCTATAAAAAATTAAATTTAAAATTGTTGAAATGAATTATTTTTCGGAGTGAAAATCAAAGCGAGGGGAAGAGAATGGAAGTGGAGTTTTCTCACTCCGCCTGAAAAAAGTCGGCCGTTTTTTGAACTTTGACCTCAAATATTTTGAGTAACTCTCACCATCGCACAAACTGCCTGAAGAAACGTTAGTTGTATTGGCTTGGACCACCTAATTTTAAAATTTCAGCCAAATCGGAGGGTTACACTTCACACCATCGCATTGTTAGTTTTTTCATATTTTGCCGGGAAAACCATGTCAAACTTATTAAAGAGAAACAAGCGATCTTTTGAAATAAAGCCATTTGACAACTGACCGATTAGGATGAGCACAAATGGACATTTCATTCCACAATTTGAATTCAACTGCTTTACTAATGCGACTTTCTGCCACACATCCAAAATCTAACCAGCTATGTGGAGCAGTCCCAAAGTGATGGGCAGCATAAACTACTTATGGAAATGGCAAAGTTTATAGTCAAACTGGAAGAACTACTTGTGCTGTTTTCATAGGTTGCATTTTACGAGTTTACAAGGGCTCTGTCAACATTGCAATTTTTGCGTATGATATTTTATTATTATTTTATACCCTTCTTGACGAGATCCATATAATACTTAGTTTTAGACAGGATTTTGAAATATCAACAAACAGAGTGTGAATAATCTGCAAATTATCCAAAGAAACGGAGAAATTTCACAACTTGTTTGGGCCTCAGACCGGAGCAACGTTGGTGGACGATGCCATTTCTTCTGGAAGATAACCCTTTGCTTTGCTTGGCTCATAATCATAGAATATTATGATGGAATGGGGCCATGTTTTAGGAAAATACTGGGTCCAAGTGAACCTTCGTTCGAGGTTATACGATAACTCATGCACAACTTTGGATCATTGAATGTGTGTGCTTGGAAAACGGAGGGATTGGACATTTTGCCGAAATCTTTGATGCGATTCTCTCTCTCTGGAGAATCCCCATTTCCACCATCAACACGCAGCCAATGGCACTCACAGCACCAATTCTTAGGCTGTTTGGAAGCCAAAAAAATGACAGAGTTATAGAATTTTGAATTAATAACTAAACAGATAAAGCACTTGTAAACGACGGTCTTTCTCCATATGAGCAAACGAAACTTTTGCTGTGCATGCATAATTTAATTGAGACGAGTTAAAACGGGACTCTCTATTTTCTGTGAGGATCATGAAAATCAAAATATTTGAGAAACCGCTTATTCCCACTCAACCCATCATTAAAAACAGGATTTTGACGTTGGGAGAGAAAGCAGTTTTGCTTTTAACTGCAAAAGTCTGCACACTCCCAAAATCCGAGTCACCCAACAAAGGAGGGGAAACATGAAAAGATTCTGGTGGTGAATGTGGAGGATTTACAGAAGCAGATTAGAGCACCGACGAGGAGGAGGAAAGCAGGCTTGAATTTGCTTTTTAAAAAGTTTATTACGCTTTCTCGGCTTATTTCACTGGTTGTCATTTGTTCTTGTCAAATGAAACATACTCCCATCGTGCGGAGGACTCCTCGTGGTTTCGTGGTCTGGTCGTGCTCCTTAATTCCAAAGTCTAAGTATTTCTTATAATCTCCTCCTCTTCCAGGGCAGGAAATACACTGGAACAATTTGCTATTTATGCAAAACTATGTACTCTTCCTACTACTACTTAACAGTTTGGCCAACTGTTGAATTTTTTATGAATACAGAATTATGCATTCATCTGTTTAAAATGTAATTCTAATTGAATTTTTAAACTGAATTCCGGTCCAAAAAGTTTTTCCAGGCTAAAAGGAACATGTGTGTATGCATATGTAGTCTGATACATACATCGTTGCCAAAAGTGGGAGACGTTTTATAATTGTGTTTTCGGACAGCGAGCAAGCCTATCAGTTAAAGAAAAGCGGACAAAATAGGGTATATTAAATCAGTATGTGTAACGTTGTTATTTTTGGGTGGAGAAAGCAGACGGGATTAATTCACACGACTATATGCTCGTTCTTCACTTGCTTAGATGTTATTACTTGCGTATTAGTTGTTGTTCTTTGCACAATACGGTCTCAGCCAGTTTGTGGTTTCTGAAATAAATCTTTCCACACAAAAAATTCATTTGTTTTAATTTAATCCAGATTATATGAAGAAACTTGCCAGATTTCCGCTAAAGAAAATTTAATACTGGTGAAAGCGCATTGGAGATGATGATTATCGCAAGGAAACAAAGCATTCTACGCACGGGCGGTTACTTTACATAATTTCCATGTTTTTTTATAATTCCAACATTTCTTAGAAGTACGGCTCAAAGTAGGGTTTCATTAAATCGCGTAATTATTGTTAAAATCTGTTTATGCATGCCAGCACGTATGCAGGATGGAAATTGAGTGACAATGTACTACCAAATCCGGTGGGGTGGTGGTAGAGGAATTCTCTGCGGCCTGGGTGGGAAAGTAGCTTTGCTTGAAGAATTACGAAATAAATAAATAAATAAATAAATAACAGAGAAAAAATGTTTCAATTGTTGTCGAATCTTCCTGCGAGAGAGATTCGGAAATAGAAAAAAGCTGGTTGAAATTTCCTCCACTCTGGAATTCAAAGGGATTGCTTTAGTTGCCATAAATGTTTAGCGAGAGGCTCACTTTAAGCATTCCAGTCTTCACTCCCTATTCATCTTTGACAATCAGACCGTGAAAAAGCCTAAATAGCAGGAAAACAGTTTGATTGGGGTCTTTCCGTGCTGTAGCAGCGAGATGTAAAATACACCGGATTTGGCGTTCACTCCCTGTCGATGGAAAATCCTGAGGAAGGAAACCACCCAACTTGCAAGGAAGAAGTGAAGCAAAATGGGCTTAAAATTATGAACTACCTTCCCCATTGTTCGCAAAATGCTCACTTCATACTTTATCACCAACAAGAAGACAACCACCACCCGCTCACTCCTGCCAGACACCAAAGCAGCAAAAGGAAAAGCAGTGCAGGCAGCAAAGCAAAGTTAGAAAAAAGGGGGCTTTCTCTCAGAGATCCACACATCACATACGACTCCTTATTGCCAACATGTTACTCGCTCACATACTTTCTGGATACATTTACGCATTCATCTTGGAAATTTAAAATTCCGGTGAAACATAGTCAACGGCATTACTTATTGCTACACGTGAGGAACACATTGAGGACCTATAACTCCCCCTCCTGCCACAGTACATTTCTGTGGTAATGCTTGGATTAATTCGTGCAGATTGTAGATCTCATGAAGTGAAGATATCCTTTACAGCCTTATCTCGCCCCATATGAACGCACAATAAGATCCGGTTCCACAAATATGACAACTTGCGTATAAAAATTGACGCATCCTGCAAACCCACCAGATACGTTCACGCTTTCACACGTGCTTTTCAGATTATTACTTTTTTCCTGATGTACACGCGTGGTTATCTTGCGTACTTGTATTTATATGATAAAAAATACACGGGGCAAGATGCGTGTACACAAATTAAATTACCTAAATTAAATTCCCTTGATATTTAGTGTATTAACCTCATGCCGCACGTAAGTATGTAGACTGTTCCATTTCACTTATGCATATCCACATGCATCTCGTCCCGTATCATCGTACCGTCTTTACCACTCACTTAGTTTGACTCAATGGAAAAAAATGTTCAAAGTTGAGGTCAGATTTGTGTTGGTCTGGCTTTTGGCTGTGCGGGCGGGTGGGTGTGTGTATGGTGTGCCAAAACAGAATTGAAAAGCACTTGAGTCTCTTTATCAGGCCTGAAGTTGGAGGAGATGGTAAAGTTTCACCCAGTCGTAAAAATCCAAAGGGACAGATCTTAATAGAGTTTCTCCTCTAGATGAACAACTTTTCAACTGTTTCAACTCTCAAGAGTCAAGAGACTTTCCGCAAACTAACTATCCAAACTCACTTTTGTGTGGCGTTTATACTCCAAATTTGTGGTTTACTTTCATGTTCTTGCAAACACAATCAAGAGAATGCTCAGATTCAGATGCTGGCTGCCTTTCTTCATCCGACTTATTGTTATTACTTGAGTAACCGACTATCTGATGGGAGGGGAACAACTTTTATTTAATTTCAGGACTAGATTAATGTCATTCTTTCCGGATTATTTTCTGCAATTAAGTAGCTGCTTGGGAGCACGTTCGAATTTATTTACTGCACAAATGTGCGGCCTCCCTCGTTACCAGGATTGTCATTGTTATCACTATTATTAGCTCAAAATAATGACGTGTCAAGGGACCTGAGTGCATTTAAATGCATATGCATGTTGGTGATAAGTCTGAATATTGCTGGTGGTTAATTCACGTCACACAGTAAATCATTGACACTATTTGCGGTGACGTTTTTTTAGAAAGTTTTTGCTTCAGGCGATTTTTGTTCCTTAAAGATCTGAAAGTGGATCACAAACAAAATATTTTGAAGGCGTATAACGAGTGGAAAAAGAAAAAAGTTTGTGAATTTAGAAGTTAAAACCAGCTTCTTCACAAATCGTTGTTGTTGTTGTGTGTGCGATATTGTTCGCAGTTTTCGAGAAAAATGATTAGCTTTGCTGAACGTGGTGGTCCTTGCTAGCTCCGTATTTGCAGTAATGTATTGCGAATGTTTGTGTGTATAGTAAAATAAATCTGTGCTCATTGTACAGCGGTGAAGAAAAGTGATCTTTATGCATATCTGAGCGAAGTGAATAGATGAGCTTGATTTTGAGAAAAAGTTTTGAAAGAATGAGAGAAAAAGCTTTCACTAGACGTTTACTTTTCTCATTTGTCTTCTCCATTTGCCCCCATTTACGGTGTCCATCAAAAATAAGTCACAACAGAGCAAAGTTAACAAATTGCCCTGTTTGGTATGCACCCACAGAGTTCGGGCTTATGGCTTCCTTCAACTGCCACCACGATTCGGAGTTCTGACAAGTCCCAACCAAATCCAAGCCCACAGAAAGAAATCGCAAAAGCGGGCAACTCCTGCTCGTAGTCCGTCCGTGCCTACAAACCGCAATCATACGGCAGCGTCAGTCAGCACAGATCTTGCATAATAGATCGGTATACATAAGCACATTCCCATTTTTAATGCTGCAAAAAAATGGATTCCCTTCAATTTCGATTGCTTCATGGAGAGGATATCTTTTTAAACAAGGGGTGGACATAATTATGATGTAATTTGCGTACAATTTATTAAAAATGAGCCGTTGGATCATGAAAAACATGTTTTAGTTAGGGTGGGAAATTTCATCGTCGACTTAAAACTGCGAGATTCCCCTTGTTTGCCTCGATTAGATTATGCAGACAAAAAAGGAGAGAAATTAATTTCTAAAAAAGATTTACAGGTAGGCGGGTTTAGAGAGATTCTAAAACCATTACAAGCGAACATTTCAATCGATCTAGATCTGAATGAGAAAAGACTTTGCATTAGACTCTGCAAAGTTGGACATCCGAAGCAATTACGAGACATCGACAGGTCGGGGTGGAAGGAAAATGTAGCCTTGCTTCGTTCCATAAATCTCCGGATTTGGGGAGAAAAGTCGTCTCGACTCTGCGATGGGCTGCCAAAAACGAGAACAAAAGTCTTGGAGTGTACTTTCACCCATGGAAAATCCTCGCAGTCTGTGTGCACAGCTTTCTTCTTGGAACATATATTTCAGCCCTTAGTTCTTGGTGCAAATGCAACCATTTCGTATTATGGGTCGAGTTTTGAGATAAGAAATTGCACTATTTGCAATTCTGTATCCTCATGCGAATTACTTGTTAGCAGAACCGAATGCAAATATTATTTAATTGTTGCGTATGCCTTTAAAAGCAAATACTGAATCCAGTACAAATGGTTACGCCGTTTGTCAGCCGCTGTCACCGCTATCCATACTGTTTCCCCCAACCAGCAACAACCCTCCCCTTCCGTCCCTATTTCCGTCCTTCCTGTCTTGTGTACTACTGTGATATGCAAAGTTTGTTGAGCCAACAAGTTAAGTTAATTACTCTACGAATGAGAAAACACGACACAAACAACCAAAAGGCTTCATTTATTTCCCCTTTCGCGTTCTGCTAACCTGAAGGAATTGATGTCGGGTTTCACTTCTCAATCCCCCAGAGTTTCTTCTGCTAGGACGAGTACTCCTCTCACTTTGTCTTCTTTTATATTTGGCAATTAAGCAACTCAACGACCATGTTCAACTTATAGCTCAGAAAGAAAAAACGTTGGGTTGGTGGATGCGATGAAATGACAACTTTTAAAACTCCTGATGAGTCCTGATGACATTTTTAATGAGTTTTTAATTTTTCCCCCTTGCAGCCTATCCAGAAAAGAGACCAGAGATAGTAATAATTCCAAATAAGCGTCGATACTCAGTTGGAGACATATTGGAGGCAAATTGTACCTCATATCGCTCAAAGCCTGCGGCCAATCTTACCTGGCTCATCAATGGGAAAAGGGTGAGTTGATGCTTGTTTCACTTTTTGCAAAAGTTTCATCTCGCATGAAACTAGTTAATTTTTAGATTGGTAAAAAAATCCAGGTGAACTCTCGCTACCATCAACACGACCCACAAGAGTATCGGTTTCGGGATTTGCAGAACACGGAAACCTCGCGATTCACGATCCGCATAGCGATCACCTCGGAACACTTTGTGGGTGGGCAGTTGAAACTGAGCTGCTTGGCCGAGATTGCCGACCACTATCACCAAACCTCAGAGGTCATCATTTCAGAAGAAGACAGGCCCAAAATCTCTTCCGTTGTCGATAACTCGTCCTCCACAGGTTCTGGGAGTAACAGCAGATTCACAAATTCAGGTAAGGATACGAACCAGGAGGGAACATGAATTATTATTATTTCATACCTCCTCTTGTACCAAACACGTGCTCAGCTTCATTTTCCAGGTTAATTAGCATTGTTTGTGGGAGAATAAATGTTGGAGAGAAAACTGTGTTGCCGTATCATTTACTTGGTCTCGGAAATAACAACTCAAAACAAAACTTTTCTTCCCCCACCGAACAACAATATAGTTCTTTGAAGTATGTTTGGGCATTTCCTTGAATTTTTAATGGGCCCAAGTAGCTTTATAAAAGGGAACGGAAGCGGAGGCAGGCAGATCGGTGTGAAAGGAACTATTCAAAGAAGAAGAAAAAAATAAATGTAAACGGCTCTCTCCATTTTTTGTTGTTTTATGCATGAGGACGATGCAAGGAGATATAGTTTTTTTTCTCTTCTTACACATAATGCAGCAGCCTTTTAAATCATTGACTTGTTCAACGAGAGAGAGAAGAGTTTTATGTGGGCCAAGTGCGGATATGTGTGTTTAATGTAGTAAAATAAATATTTATTGTTTCTCACTTTTGCATAAACTTTTCCGGCGGCCACACACTCCATGAACTTATACTTTGCCTTGGATGAGTTATATCCTGCTTGTTCATGCTACAAAACAAAATATTCGTTCTGTCTGCTGTGCTGCCCGGTCCAGATTTCTTATTCACACTCCTCCATTCATTTTCAATTCCAAACTTTCCTAAGTAGGTAATACCTTCTCGTCGCTATTCATGTCAGACTCGGCCCCTCTTTATAATTTACGGATGAATTTTCCAACAAAAGTGTCGAGAGACTGACATTATACTCGGCACACACACACACATATGACCATATATGTATGTAAACCGTGTGTATTTAATTCCTCCCGATGCTTCTTTGGGCTCGAGTCCGAGGCGAATTTAAGCACAACTTTCGAAGCAGTTTAATATTTTTCTTTGAAGTTTTTATCATGGGTGGAACGAAGATAGGTGCTAATCATGAGAATTTCAATATTCAGATATGGATCTTGGAAAAAGTAAATTCCAAGTGAAAAAATTTCAGCAAAATCTGGATTTGATGGAAAAACTGGATGTCAATGGATGAGCAAAATTTTGTCAAGGACAAAAGATGACCTGAAGGGTCACATCTACCAGGAAAGCAATTAATAAACTTAAACTATGAGAACATTTAAAGTTCAGGCCGAAATATATGCATATATACTGAAGGAGAAAGTGTACTAACTAGTAAGAAAAAATAATGGCATAGTGAAAGGTTAACCAACGAGAGATTCAAGATTAGTAAAATTCTAAACCAAGCTCTACTTTAGAAAAATTAGCACAAAATCAAAAGGAAAAAGTTACGGAAATGATTAGAATTAATGGTCAAAAGACTAAATACTAATATCTCTCTAAGGAAAAAATTGGCCTCGAAACTTTCACCGTTCTTTTACTAACAATGTCTCAAATATTTGCAAGAAAAATCGGAACGAATCAAATACACACGCTTTATATATTTTGTGTGTCTTTGATATCAAGAAAAATTTTGATTTACCAGAAACTAGAAAAAACCTTTCTCCTGCGCCTATGTTTTCCCATGTGCCAAAGGTACCTACGTATGTAACCGAATTTGGCCAGGCCGAATTTGTGCAAAATAAAGCCTGCCATGCCCATAGCTGCATGCAAAGTTGTACTTCAACCACTTTGTTCTATGAGTGGTATAAAATACATTTTTTTAATTCTTAAACTTAAGGAGGAAAATATGTTGTCAGCTGGAAGATGCAGAGAAAGTTCCCAGGTTGCAATTATCACCATAAACTTTGTGCAACTTGCCAACAAACATCTTTTACTCATTTCCTGAATCAATTGACTTTACAGAGCGTGCACAGCTGAAAAGAGCATCTGTTTTTGGAAGGATCTGACATGTGTGTCGATAGTTTGTGTGTGGGTGAAAGTTGCTTTTCGTATGTTCATCAAGGAAACATTTACTATGGGTGACATGAGTAGGAACTAGTTGGAACTGCATTTTAGGAAACCTCAGGTGCTATCCGTGAAGGTTGAATGGGGTGCGCGAGTGGTCGTAATCGGATAAGTTTGCCTTATATAAGAGCCAAATAGGATCTTAAATAAAATTAATGAGATGTAAGCAATTTAAGGCTTTGGCAAAAAAGTTAAGTAAAAATCAACCCTGTAGAAAAGAAGTCATGTTGCAATCTGGGTAGGGACGACGAAGATTACTTTTGTGCTAAGGACACGAGAGGAGAAAGTTATCTGAGGAGATAAAATACATCCAAGATCTTATGTAATCGTAAGTTGAGTTAGAGGTTAATTTTTCCCTACGATTTTGCCCGATACGTGTGACTAACTCGTCGATTAGTGTAAATTTTAGATTCAGATCTGCTTGATGCTCTGGTTTTTGGTGGAATTGTGACAAATTTCAAAGATTTGACTTTTCCAACTTTCTAAGCATTCATGACACACACGTATAATTCATGAAGCACTGCTTATTTGTACAATGATGGAAACAGTTTAGAGATTTCACCACCGATGCGAAATATGTGCTTGTTGCCCACATTTCTCACTTTTTCTGCTGAAATATCATCACTTAAACGCTCTTGGATATATTGCGGTACTGTGTGAGAATAATCGAACGGATATTGCCATTTTGGTCCTGGTATCAAGTTGAGAAATGTAGCTGATTGTGGGACAATCTCGCAGCGAGCAGGAATTTGCCTGAAGAGCAGAGTTGCCATAAACATGCCACAAACAAGCTGGGTTTTCTGGGTGGTGAAAGCAGTGGTGTCTGTACGTATGTACGAACTGGAAAGAGAAGTTGGTGACATGGGACGGATACGAGGAAAGAATTTTCGGATTTTGACACCGGAAATTCAATCAAAAGAAAATGCCTTGTTGGCCAAAATTGAAGATATATCAGAGCAAAACGCCATAAAAGTAGAATACGTACGTATCTGCCTGCATTCCACGTAGGGATAAACGACATGTTTTTCTCAAATGTTTTTCTTTTCTTGTTGTGAGCAAGAGGGTTGCTTTCTTCTTTGGCGACTTGGCATTTATCGCCACCCGTACAAGATGAATATCAAATACGGAACTGTATATGTACATACAACTTCAATACACACTGCAAATTTCATTCATTCTCTCCGTAACGTCCGTAACCGTAGACGAAAATTGCTATATTCCAGACAAATATCATGAAGTAAAGAAAAACTAATAAAATTTAACAATTATTTGTCTAAATTTTCAGGTTCATCATCTGGAACGAGGACGGCTACCAATTTCTTCCAAAACACACCGAAACATTTTCTCCTACATTTTCTTCTGTTACTTGCCCTGCTTTCGAGAAATATCCCAAGTTTCATATTGAATTTACACTGTAAAATAAGTGCACCCACAGAAATAAGGAATGGCAGCCCAGCGACACCTTTCCCCACAATTCTATGCTGAGACATCTCTTCCTTCACGTTTGCATAAAATAATATGTGATTGATTCAATTTCCTACTTCAAAAAAAAAAAAAACCTGGATACTTACGGTTTAAAATTCAGCTTTTCAACTTTTCGACAAAAATTAATTAAATCTGTTGTTACTCACTCGGAAAGGGAGTTTTATCATAATGAAGATTGAATGGGCAAGGCTGCAGTTCAAGTGGTGGCTTCATCTCGTCGTCATCGTGGTTAACCACCATACTCGAGTATTATTGACTCTTATTTCCTCCGTGTGGATGAGTGATCTTAGAGTGGCGGAGATGATGACGGCAGATAAAGTGACAAAGATATTCGACATCACTCCCTATTAAATTCTGCATCTTCTTCCCGTCAAGATGTATTAGTGTAAGGTTATTCTTGTAAAAATACGACTTAAGACCCTAGTACTACTACTACTTCCACTGTAATCATTAGCACTCGAAGTGACAACGCTGAAAGTGACGGTTGGTAAATTGAGTAAAATTTGAGAAAGGGAGAGCTTACAGGGAAAAAGAAAGTGAAAAACGCGGAGCCTCAGCTAACACTATAAAAACATTATTCTCCGACAACCAAAAGTTTTTAAATGCATTGTCGTGAATTTACGTCACTCACTCGTGAATGGATGTGGGTGGGTGGGTGACTGATTAAATCCCACTTTGCTCTCGGAACAATCATACTAAAAAATACTATGCGCAGTGTTTTTGCATGTGCCATAAGTTGAGTTTCCTATACATACATATAGCGATAGAAGTAATGTTATCATCACGATTTAAATTTACCATTTGTATGAGTACACATGTACTAAGGGATGTCCGTTGTAAGACGTCATTTGAATTTTTTTCGCAAATTTTGGCAATGTGGACTAAACTATAAGCTAAACTATCTATGAGGCAACTTGCACCACCACAAAGCTAGTTCGACTTTTCTCATTCAAGACGGCTCCTACTTTTGGTACTGCTAAAGATATAGTTCTCCTCTCTCTGCTGGTTTTTTCCTCTGTCACAGTCCTCGGTTTGGTTATGTGGTGAAATTCTTACTGGGAAATGGCAATGTTTGTCCCCAAAGATAAGAGACGCGACCAAAAAGCTTAGCTTGTGCATGGAAGTGACTCCGTTGTCCCACTTTATTCTAGGCTCAATCCAATTTCGTTGAACCGAACGCAATCCCAAATTCTATTTCCTTGTTAGAAGAAAGTCAACTTTTTGAAGAAGGACTTCTTGACCCTTGAAATGACACACATGCAAACAAGCAGAGTAGCAAAGAAACAAACTTTTGTTACATAATAACTCATGGAGGAACTACTGGGCTTGGCGTGTCCTTTACGGAAAAATATGTTAACACATGTACGCGTGAACATGTGTAAGTGCGTAGTGGTGGAAATTCAACTTGTATTTATTTATCTTCCTCTCCCCTAAAGAGACGAAGGGGTCAGACGGGTTCTAAATGAAAGAAAGTGAAGAAAACGCTGCCCAGACCGACCCCGTCTCTCTAATCCCATTCTCACTCTCCATCAGCTTCATTTTCACGGACAATGTGCGATCTGCACAATGCAAGAAAAACTAATCTCAACTTAGTCCACCACGAGTACATTATGTCTGGTCCTACTGGCTACTAAACCACCACCAGGGCCATAGAAGAGGAGACGAACAAATCTGGAACGGTTTTGTGGGGGTACACAAAGTAGAGGACTGTATCAGTGTAACGACTCCACTTTCACCGTTACACAAGGAGATGAAGAGAAGAAGAATAAGAAGTGAAACTCGTCTCAACTTTTGTTTCACTTGGACAATAAATGACGAAAGAGTAGAAACAATTGTTGTCAGGTAGCTGAACCACCTCCACTTTCACGTCATGCCTTCTTGCCCATTGTCCCGACCAGATAATTCACAATTTTTGTTTCATAATATAATTTGGTCTAGGATTTTATTACGTGTGATTAAGTGAGTATCTATTTACGTACCGATAGCATTCCGACCTTATAAACTTGTCCCGCCCCAAATAATTTCCTCAATAAGTTCCTCTCTTTCCGCTCTTATTGTTCTCTTATCGAATAGTTGCACACATCCAAAAAAGCAAACATGATTGGAAACTTTTCTCTTAAAAAACTCGTTGGGTGTTAGTGTTCAATTTTCTCGCAATGAAACGAACGAAATGCAAGCCATGCTCATTTGGACATTTTATTGACGCCAATTCAACAGAGAGGAGGAGGCGAGTAGAGGAGAGGAGAGATATCAAGACGTGTGTATTCATTGCCAATCTGAGCCGAACATCTTAATTGAAATTGATGAGTGGTGTAATTGAGACGGAATTAATCCCGTTTTCTCATTTCACCTCCAAAACATCTCGAGAACTAAATCCTCAAATGAGTCGCACTTATTTATTATGCACTTCAACAGGACAAACGGGGTGCTTGTTAGGAAGGACACAGACACAGATATATGTACATAAGTAAGTAAGTTGACCGGTTAAAGTCACCACTTGATAAGGAGTAAGCTTATCATGTAATGTAAAATTTTGTTTGTTTCCGGGGTGCACAGTTGGATTACTTAAACTTTTAGCTATTGAATAATGTAACACCACGTTGAAAGATGTTTAATACTAAATTAACAATCAAGAAATTTACTACCTACCACTAATACGAAATCTCGAATTAATAGGTAGAATCGGGTATGATATTGACAATCGATTGTCTGGTAAAAAAAGAGCGAGTGTAAACAATAATTAGACCTCTCATAGCTTATCCCTACTTTTTTAAACCAATCGTGCATACGTAAATGTTGTCAAATTGAACGGAGGAATGTTTCTAGTAAAATAAAAGAATGACCGAGTCCACCTGATGCGTATATATCCCTATGAAATATCTACATACTAGCAATTACACATAATTTAAATAAATACGTACTACTTTGGAATGGTCGTCGCGTCGTCGTACATAATGTGCATGCAATGTGTCAAAATAGTTCAGTCGGATCCGGACTCCTGACTGAAGGGAACTGAAAGTTGGTCAATTTCTGTAAAAAGATTAGAAACTTTTAGATAACTTTGTTACACTTGTGTCCCAATAAGTGACTAATTATTTCTGTCTCTACTATCGTATTTAAGTAGCACGCCTATGATACTGTTCTAGAACTTATTTTTTTGCTAAGCTTGTAAGCACACATATAAATAAGCGTAAATACATGTAATGAATTACCAGCCGATATATTCAATTAGTTAATATGTAATTAAAACGGTGGTGGTGATGGTATTGTGAAAGTATCCACAATTTACAGCATCCCTATTATGTATAATAATTAAGGAATAATTAAGGAATCTAAATATGTACACACACATAAATATATATTAAGCACATAACTACACTAGGAAGAATTTCTGCATTATTCCACATTTTAATTATTTTCAAGACAACTGGCTTTAACTAAATTTTTAGATTATATTTAATCTCTTATAAAATATCTTACTACATAACAATTTGTAAGTAAAGTCTTTGTTAAAAAAATGTTAAACTTATCCGTGAAGGTAAATAGGAAGGAAATCGGTGATTATTTATTTGACCCTTTTCTAATGAAAACACGGAATTCTGGTTAAACAAATTACTGCATAGCTTTATCTATGTATTCTCATTTTCAATGAAAAAGTCACCAATGTACACGGTTTTCCAACTGTATCAGTATGCACAACGTAGTGCATACAGTTCACCTAGCTCCCCATTTATTGTACGTAGTCAACAACCTTATTGTTTGTAACATCCAATTGTTTGCAGTGGTCTTGGCAGTGAATGATGGTCAGAGTAATGATAGCAAATTTATGAATATCAAAACGGAAATAAAATATGAATGAAAGTGAACCGTGTTTTATGGTTGTCTGGTTGTGTTGCTATTTTTACAAGGCCTAAAAATATGTACTTTGTCCACGAGACACTACTTGCATATTACACAAACCCTTTTTATACTTATGCATACATGCCCTTATCATGACGGACATTATCTTAATTCAGCGAATTTCTACATCCATACATAATCGTGCCTACTACAAGTTACAACTCAGGCGATATATTGTGCAGAGTTTGGCAAATGCTATAGAAAAGTTTTGATGACACATGGAAATTTACTGGCAGCTGATTTTCATACTTTTTTAAAGTATGTCATGAACTGAAAGATCCACATTTTTAATGCAGTATAAACTTTGTGACAAACCAGCGTTTCATTTCATATTAAAATTTGCATCTCAGAATCCGACTGCACACGTTCTGAGAAGAAGACAAAAATGGTTTTGTGAAAACATGGGCCAAATGACGGGGAGGAAAATCCGTGCGGAGAAAGTCCGGCCGTTCCTGTTGTGCAAAAGAATGCAAAGTCCACCCAGAGAGAGGAATGAGAAGTCGTGGAGGATGAGATGGAATGGAATGAGACTACTTTGCATTTATTGTCGTGGAAGTTGTCACTCTGCAATAAAAGTGGCTGCAGATTTCTTTCTCCCGTCTGAATTATCTGGCCCAAGAGTCCAATGGAGGAACATTTTCTTGGTCAGGCTAAACTCTGATTCAAATTTAGACACCCCACTCTCACCACGACCACAACCATGATGCGATACAATTCTTTGGTAAATTTACCCTGTTGGAATTTATGTATTCTTCTCAACTTTGGTAATTGTAATTTGAGGTTGGACATTTCATTATCTACAATGCGAGATTTAAGTTAAGGTGACTTTCTCTCTGCGAATAAAATTAAGATTAATTATTTGGTATTGAAAATAAATTAATAAAACTAGTTTATGAATGACAAATTTCGGAGTGAATAATGATGGGAACTTGGACAGGATGATGTAAAGTAGCCGAGATCTCAAGCAAATGTCCGTCGAGCTACATAAAGGCAGGCAGTCTTTGCGAAACTGTAGCTGAGAGAAAGTAGGCTGGAGAAAGTAAAGGTAAGTGAATGGGTCAGTAGTCGTTGTTCGAGTACAATTATTATTACAAAACTTACTTCACGTCATAATAATTCTGGCTGATCTTTGAATTTCTTTGTTTGTTCATAGAGTTTAGGAATGTGTCTCAGGTTTATAGACATGGTCATGCTCACCGGTCACCACCCTTTGGATCCTATAATTTTAATTAATAGTGCTTGTATACAGTAATAATCACTCAATCACGCTGGAACTGCAAAAATTGCAAGTTTAAAAAAATAATTTTACTTTTTTGAAAAGTGTACCCTCAACTCCGTATTTAGTAAACTATACTAAATCCAGAGTAAACTTTACTCCTTACCAAGTAGGCGTTACTTTGGATTTAGTATAGTTTACTTCATATAAAGTTAAGACTGTTGAGACCACTTGCTTTTCTAAAAAGTAAAATTATTTTCAAGAGTGTGTGAATATCAATGAACGAAAATATGCTTCGACACTTGTTTACACAAATACTTATTTTTATTATTATTATTGTACTTTAATTCATTATTCAAACAATCTCATTTTCATAGTGGTACATAACGAAACATATAAAATCTGCGGATTGCATTTGCGAAACAAAAAACGAGCGACAGGGTAACATAAATGGATTGAATTGTGAACGACGATTAATATTGATTGCAATAATTCCTGTGGGAAAATAACGTTGATAATCCGAATGTAAGAGATATTCACTCACACTTTTATACTTCATAATTAAAACTTCTACCATCACATCTTGTATGCTCCACCCGGACACACACAAATCGACCAAAATCGGAGAAAATTATTATTCAATACCAAGTGTTTTCCACACATACGATACGATACGATTTATGGTACATATGGATTGTTTTTACTGCTGGAACTAACATTTCAAGACACGGCAAGTTTTTCTTAAGTCAAATATTTCTTAATATTAAGTCTTGGGGTGAATGTGTCTAATAAAAAAAATTCAAATGACTCTTCGAGCAGTATTATTCTTGTTGAAATTATGAATTGCTGGATTGTTATATTACGCATGCGATACTGCCACAATATTACATCCCTTCCGTAATTAAAATTTATAGAAATTTGGTATACAGTAACTATATATTATAAAATAAACTACGCGGCCTTGCAATAAACGTTTATTTAATTTATACAGTACGACAATAATCACCATCACAGTCGAAAGATGATACAACAACCACAGTTAGTAATATGTTGAATATGTCGACGGCCGATTAATTGATAATAAAATATATATAGATACTTTCCAAATAGTATAATTTTTTGTAGACAAAACGATACTGGTACATGAATTGGAAGTGAGGTTTGCTATTTTGTTGAGGGTACATTTCATTTGTTTTCACGTATGGTTGAACGTAGATTAGTGGTAGTAACAAGTCTGTTCCAGGAAAGAATTAGTCGATCATTGCTAGCGTGGGATGTAAGTCGGTTGTGCGTGTTAATCAAATAGTTGGTGAAGGAGGTTCATAGTGAGATCCCTTCAAGAATAATTATTAGTTAGCAAGTGTACCAGTTTATTACGATCGTAATAAAGTAAAAGATTCGTAGTAAGCAAAATTACCAATTGATCTCGGTTCTTTTCAGTAGGAACAGCACTTCGAGGCCGGAGAAAGAAGAGCACCATTGCAATTAGAAACCAAATTCCAATGAAAAATACTGCGGTTGACTGGTCCCCGTTGGGTGGTTGACCTTCAGTGAAACACTCACTGTCGGTACAGTAGTCCTGCTGCTGCCGAATCTGTACAACAATAAAATTGCCATTATTGTTAACAGTTTAGGAAATTTGTGCTTGACTATTTGAATATTAAACTGACTATTTTAAATTTTTCGAAACTTAGGTTAAAACCTAATCCCAATCGATAAAAAACTCAAGTTTCAATTAAAATCATTACGCAATTTATTTTATTTCAAAGATCAAGTCCAGTCTATTTATTTTGTCCGGATACTGTTGCTCTACAATCATGATAGGTGATGACGTAAAACCTTTCCAATTTATTTGCATTCAGAGAAAACCTGGTCTAAACATGCCTATAACATTACATTACATCAGTGTCCCAATTGGTAATTTGATATGAAATGAAATGAGACTGATTGAATATTCCTCGATGATGCAATTTGTGTATTCACTGCAGTAATAATACCATTTTATCCCGTCTACCACCACCAACAAATAAAATAAATTGGAAGATAATCTTATCTCTCTTTTTTCTATACAAATACAACTTGTTCGTCTCCTACATTCGTACACGCGCTTCAGTATTGCACGAGCACTATATAATTTGTCCAATCAAACTTGAGCATGAAAACAAATGAACCTCTATCATTCCTATCATATCTTCTTTAACTCATACTTTGCTGTCACTACAGAGTAATCATCACTACTGTTGTATACATAGAATTAATATGACGCATTAACTAAGCTTTAGTAAATTATGCGAGCAAGCGAAAACGAGCTTCGCTCGCATTGCAATTTTTTTGCAATGCATTGCTGATCCACAAGACCTAGTTAAGAACGGTTAGCGTGGTTAACTGACCAAGCGATTCAAAAAGTGAATCTAAAAACGTTTCATGACACTAAACTCGCTCTGAAGGCATTTAGCAGATTACTTTTTGCAATCATTTACTCTCGTGTTCGTTAAATGCAACAAAATAGTTAAAAACGCATAGAAATGCAGTGACGCTATTTAGCTACTTGTCAACCCTACTAAATACATTCATTAAAAGGGATGTGTAAATATTGGACTCGTTTTTGGACAATGTAAATTGCCCAGGACATCCATAAATGGTAGTTTTCGATATAAATGTCTACCCAGTTTTTAATGCATTCAAATACATAATGTACTTGAATGTATTGCATATTATCCTTCACCAGGCGGTCAATGTTAATGGCTACACATTCATCCATCGTTAACGCAATGCTGGAGCAGAATTACTTTTATATTGCAACAAGGACTGTGATATAGACTAATGCTATATTTACAGCAGCAAATATACTACACACACCAAAACTGTGTGACAACAGCCTTGAGCATATACTAATAATATGATGGTGAGAAAGTGGTAAACTATTTAAGCTGTTGCGATTTGATGTACACGGGTTGGGTTTGAACGTGAAAAGAATTTCTACATTTCCATTGTTCAACTTGTTTCAAAATTCGAAAGTGAGACGGACTTCTAGGTGTCTCATATATCCAGTCGGAGTCACAGTCCAACCTTTCTGTCTCCTACCAACTTCAGAAATAGAAATAACAATAAAACTTTTCTATTTAGATTTTCAAGTTTAACAAGGTACACGACCCACCTGAATGATCATCGGATGGTGCGTTTTTTACATATTTTCTTTGTTACTTTATCATAGCAGGTTAAAAACCAGGACAAAATGGTTCGATTTGGTTCAAACTTTTAGATTTTAAGTCATATTTCTTAGAAATAATTTCTAGGTTTATAAATGTAACCTCAAACCTTTGTCCATAAATAATCTGTTTCGACTTTGAACAACATTTTGCTCCTTTGCATTATATCTCGGACAACATAAAATCTGAAACATGATACATTTAACATAAACATTTAACTCACCATGTTGATCAACCGACGAGTCGCCAACTCATGACTCCATACACATTCGCAAGGGTCAAAATCTCCAGCACCGTCCATCTCGGCTTCAATTGGAATATTTTCTTCTCACAAACAATCCGATTCTGTTCCAAAAAGATGAACCGAAAAAAAATATAAAGACAACTCTTATTAGCTTAAAGAACCCCAGCTGCACAATATCTGTCACATACTACCAAATTAAATACAATTTTCTACCCTTCCACTCTCCACTTCTTTCTTGAACCCAATCACTAAAATAAGCCTGCCACTTCCTGTCACTCGATGAAAGAATGCTTCACAGCAATGATGCGAATAATTGAGCAGTGCAAAATTAAAAATGGTGGCTGCTACTACCACTTTAGCACTATCAATAACGACACAGCGCAAAAAGTAGGAAGAGATGGTTTTTTCTTCCACCAAAATAACACTACCACCACCATCAGCCTTCATCTTGTGCCAGAAAAATAAGGTGCAAAACTTTCAAACCCCCTTCACCCCCAGACTAATTACTTTGAATTAAATTAACTAAAATTACGGAAACTTACCCACCACCAATTATGTTTGCTGACCAAGTCCTGGAGGAAAAGTGGAATGAAAACAATTGCTCTCAAAAAGTGGGAGCAGGTTGTGTTGTTGCTGTGCTGAGGAAGGGGATACAATTGACTACGAGTGGCATATTTATGTCGCAGCACCACCACCGCCACCACCACCACCGAGAGGCCGGCTCAGCTAACACACACGGCGACGGCGGATTGGTGCCGCGTTTGAGAGGAGGAGCGTGGAGTGTGCATAAAGGGCGAAAATGTGACCTCTTCTGAAGGACCGCACTAAAAAATACGTGATTTCAAGCGAAGCGATAGTTGGATGCACTTCTCGCTATGCAGTTGGATTTAATTGTTTAATTTTATATGCAATCATCAATTTTGTATGGGGTGGAAAGTATTACCGTGGTATTACCCTAATCCGGTATTCGATATTCGGCTACATGGAATTGAAGTAATGTTGGTGGTTTTCCTTGATGGGAATGCCTGGTTTTAACGAGATGAAAATGGGATTTTTTTTATAGATTGTGATGAAATTGATTACATAGATATCAATTATTTATTCGGACGAGGTGGTGAAACAGAGGAGTGAGGAAAATTCGGAAGAGTTGTGCACAAATAGGGCAAGAATAATCCCTAGTTGTGAGAAATAGATTAAAAAATTGTCCAAAAGTTTTCATGTAATGGGGACATGTTATAATTTCGGTTGCAAGTTATGTAAATATTTCATTTGTATTAATTGATGAGTGAAAGACATTTTGAATCATTGTTCTCCTCGGCGACCTTCCGCATGTGGGGTTACGACGACGTGGACCAAATTCATAAGCCAGCTATGCTATGCTATTAATTGGTTGGGGCTCTTGGGAGGCAGGCCTGTTTAGTTGGTAGAGATGTACGTATTTACAAAATATTATACAAGTTCAGTGCTCGTTAGCTCCTCAGGTTATGTGATGATAAATAATATGATCTCAATCCGATTCCAGCTAATAACTCGACAAACATGCAGGATAAATACACAAAATACATGAAATACATAAATTGTGGTGGGTATTTACGTAAATGTTGTACAGTAGGATTATATTATGATGATGAGCATGAGCCTCAATAATAGAGCACCGTGTTTAATAATATTTAATACGAGATAATATTTAATAGAGTTCAAAATAACATGTAATCATCTCCACAACCACATCAGAGGATGAACGGCTAATGTAAAATAGAACTTACGGGAAGTGAAGTCATTTTCGAGTATTTTATGGATAATTGAGGTTATGTGTGCATAGTTATGAATGTATTTTATTTATACTGTTAACTGACGTGGACGAATAACAGCCAATTTTTGGAACCTCTGTTTAAAAATTGGTCTTGTCTGCAACCTCACACAAGTTGTGGGCACAAGTTTTTGCACACGCGTGTACATACAAATTTCGGTGTAGGGTTAGCTAGAACAATTCCTATTGTATTTTCTCCCAGCGACAATAAAAGCTATAAAATTACTGGATGGTGGTGTATATCTTGGCATTCCTTGACTCCATGCGACCTCTAAAGTTTGATTGAAAATGGCCAGCAATAAAGGAAATTAAAACGATAATAAATTAAAACGATAAAGTATTTATGCTACCGATTTGCAAGGTTTCTTAAATGCATGTACAAAATGATGAAAAAATAATGAAGCACGATATGGTAAGCAAGGTACTTTTATTTTCCAGAACTGTCTCGACGACATTATTTTTTACGCTTAGAATATCAACTAAATTATAAAATTATAGATTAAACGATGTAAACATTTCCTTAAATTCTTGTAATACACACAGTATAACAGATAGAAGATATACCAACGATAAAATAAACTTACAGACTAAAAAGAGATGAATGCGATAAGTAAGTAGTTGTTTTTTGCATCAGTTTTGAAACAAATACACAAATTAAAAATCCTATTGAATATGTTTTAGTACCTTAGTTTTGATTAGACTCCATGACTCAACGACCAAAATTACTACTACATAATTATATATTGTGACAATGACACATTTCACTTCTTGTAAAGCTTGGTTTGGTCGAATTACTATATTTTTTTGCATTAACAGTTATCATCATATGTTTTCTTTTATAGACTAAACTTTTCTGTACTCATACGCATTCATAGATTTACCGAATGTCTACTGCATATCGCACATGCATGAACCATCTCCCAGGATTAAGTATTGCAAAAAACTTTAATCGAATAAAATAGCTTAATGGAAAATACTGAAATTATGAATATATCAAGTTAAACACGCACGGTAACCACCGAAGTTAATTAAACTACTATCATATTTCTTGTTAAAATCCCGTTTTATTAGAATTAGCTAAATATGCGCTTATATGTGCACCTATACATTTATACAAGATTGATGCCAAACATTCACGTCTAATAAGTAAGGCTGTAATTTACGGATTTACAAAATTTCAAATTAAGACTTTTTTGAGAGAAATGATGACATCAATATCCAATGTATTAAGTTGCACCATGTGAATCTTAGGATAACAATAAAATAATGCCTATATATTTACACATACATTCAAACACGCACTTTCACTTTCAGTAGATTAAGCGAATTCGATAAAAACTAAAAACGGCATTCCTATGTGAAAAATATATTATTTTTGGAGTCGCCGAAAACTCATCGCCATCATCGTTTTAGCAATCACGTATCTATGTTACATACATGATTGATTTTATTCGCTACTGCATTTCAATAAGTTGCCAATTTCTTTAAAAATTATAGGTTTTAGTACTTTTTAAACTTTCTTCGATGCTTGCGGGAGTTAAGAAACTTTACGTAAATGTCTAAGCAATCGTAGAGGGTCGATAATCTCAAGAGGCGTGGGTTAGTTAATGTAAATATTAAGGCAACACACATGGACAATCAGTCATATCTATTTACCAATACAAGAATTAGTAGGAATTTTATTCTCTATAATATTTTCCCTGGTTCTAATTGAAACTTTTATACGTTGCGAGTACACATTACTTACATTAGACTGGAGTAAATATTTGAAAAATGGAAGCTGTATATTTAGGTGTCGTTTTTAATATCTGATTCTATTTCATATAGTGATTGGCTCTTTGGAATGAAACAAACCAAAAGAAAAAAACATTTTAGAGGAGTTAAATGATAGATAGACGACTGACGTGGGACATTTACGTACTGTATTTAATATTATGCATGAGGTATTCAAGTTGAATCTCAGTTTTCTATATGTAACCCGAGTCAAAATGCTAAAATAATCCGAATTCACTGCAAAAAGTTGCAGATCGTTATTATTCAAATTAGCTCTTAGCAAGGAAAGCACTCTCCTACACACCCACAACTACATAATATAAATATAGGTAGGTTAATTAGGAGGAGAGAGATTCCTTTTATAATCAACACTTTTAAGTATTATATACCAACCAAGTTAATTAAGTGAATCTTTTAAAAATATTCCACATTCTAAGAGTGTAAGTAGATATACAATGTATGTAGATGCTGCTGGTTGCCAATTTCAAACTGTGAGAAGAAGAGTCTTATTGTTAAGATTTATGGCTGACATATTTCCTTCTAATTTCATTTAATCGTTGTGAGTCGCAAACGCAAACGTCGAATTTCTCTCCTGCTTTACATTCTTGACGCGAGAATAATCCTACGGCATTTTGATGTTGATTGCCATTAATTAGGTTTAACCAAATAGCTTCTCAAAGCAGCAGTGGCAATACGGCTTGTCGTTCTGTTCCTTGAATGTTCCTTTGTTCAACTGTTTAAGGCAGAACGAACATACAAAATGTTCAGGATGGAATTTTCTAAACATGGCTGTAATACATCGACCTGAATAATCAATAAATTAAAAAAAATTAAATTCTTAATAAAAAGTTATTAATGAGGTTTATGTTAAGATATTTTTTATACCGGAGATTGGTTTGTGACATCCTGCACAAAGCGTGCCTCGTTTAGCATGGTAGTGGGTCTCACAATACGGTTGTCCTTCATGGTCAAAGAACGACCCCCCTTGGAATGGTTGTCGACAATCCTAGTTAATAATAAATTACATTTATTTACAAAAGCTTTTTGCAGTTTTATCGACAAAAAATAATTGTAATTGTAACAATAAAACATCAACATATCACATCACTTGAGCAATGAATTGGCAAAGTAAATTCGCTAGTTTTGGCATTCTCCCATCGGTATAATCCAAAAACACTTGGTGATCGAATGAAATATATTTTGTTGTACTGATCTCCAATCTTTGGGCCAAGTGTTCAAATAACCAATCCGGGTGCAGTAATGCATATAAAAGTCCAATCAATTCAGGATTACTCCACTTAATTTGGAAATCTAATCACTAAACGTAGATTTATGAAGAGACAGACAATGTACATATCTACATATCTATTTCCTACATTGTGGAACTTTTGCAACTAGTGTAAAATGAACGGATTACGTTCAATGCACTTTATGTCTTCCATGATCATGGTGATCTCTCTCTCTTTCGTAACAAGTCAGGTTACACACACACCCATAGAATAATGGGAAGTAGGTCGATAGATAGTGTAATTGATGTGATTGCTATAAAACCGTAGTCCTTTCATCTTTAAATACTTACATGCGATAATATAATTTGCATCACATTTTGCTAATCGGCATCAACATGTAAATTAATTTCTAGGAATTACCTAATTGCAGAAGACCGAGGAAAGCTTTTCATCAATCGTACATAAATTAAACCATGCATCTGGTGAAAGCACGTGGCTGGACCAGTTAATTCACATTGAATACTTTACGAGTCCATATTACTGCCAATTTCATGGTACCCTACAGAGTGGAGCGTGGAACCATTGCCAACAACTTTGGCTATTTGTGTCCAACTCTCAATCTTTTCACAAGCGTAATAATAATTTGTTTGATGTCTTACAAACGACTCGCACAGATAAGCAAGTCAGGTCGTCCAAGGACTTAAATTGTATTTCCACGACAGAGACAAAAAAATCATGGTTGGAAACTGCTTGTGTGGTGGTGGTGGTAAAATTAACGTACAATGCATCATTTTTAGTGTCTGTTAAATTTCGATTAACAAATTTAGCACGCCATCATCACAACCAGCTCTACACTTTTAAATGGGTTATTTGTACTCATAACACATGCAGTAAATTGTACTCCCGTGATGCCAAAGCTGTGAACCATAATACTATTAAATAGCATCAGCATGCAAATCTATGTAGTATGTGTGTGTGTGTAGATAGAGTAAATAAATGAATGGTGTTAGTGGAGACAAAACTGGGAATGAAAACTAGCAGCAAAAGAGATGTGCATGTGGTGAGCATAAGTGATTTGGCGTAGCCTTGATTTACAGAAGGAAGAAACCTCATAAAGAACTTATGACAGATCATCCCATTACTGCAGAACGATATTTTACAACAACTGTACAACAGACAGGGGCCGAACAGGAGAAACAAAGCTGCTCCCACATAGAAACAGGAGTGAGAGAGAGGAAAGAGCCGACTGACGTTTTTTGGTTACGGAAGAAGGATAAAAATATGTCATCAACTCTGGTTGAATCTAAATCATGTTCATCATCATTGCCATCCAAGCCAACGAAAAAAGAAAAAGAAAGCTATTCTTAGATCATCCCACACAAGTCAGCAGCAACAAACCCCTCATACGAAAACCTAATGTTGCAGAAATTGAAAGCAGGAAAAGTAGAGCCGAGTTAGTTTGCTCCTCGTGTTGCAATACACACGTAGTCTGAAAGATTGGAACAATAAATAAATCGCACAATTCTTAAAGAAGCCAAGCATCACACCCGAAAGATACAATTAGCTAACCTTGACCTCCAACAAAGATTACTTCACAAACTAATATTTTAATGTCAGATTCATTTCCTCATTGTGTTTTGTAAATATTCAATTACAAAACACAATTATCAACATAATTGCCACTTATGTACATTATGTAAGCACTTGGAATGCAAGTCTTTCACGCGTACCCCGATTCTACTTTATTTTCATTCAAAAATAAAAAAAACCTGTATTTGTACATTTTTCCTAACATCTGTCTATGATTTTTCCTAATGCGAGATTTAAATACATGCAAACCCTAAAGTTTTCAAAGCACTGCAAATTTTCGAATTTTGACGAGATTCAAAAACAAACTCGGAAACATGTTAGCCTAAAATTTCAAAATTGGAAAGATGTGAAATGTTAATTACCACAATTACCAATATTCAAAGAGTATCATTTTCATTTCATTAAGAATTGCAAAAAATCGAAACCCGATTTGCATATTCTACACACCGTGAGAGCAGCAAACGGCCCTGACACTGACCTACATTACTGAAACCGTGCGAACGGGACATAGGCACAGTTACATACGACATGTAATGCCAACAGACAATTTCATGTCGTCCCGTGGCAGAAGTTTCTCATATTTTTTTTTGTTTTTGTTTTTTTTTGTTTTGGGCGTTTTGCCTTTATTTTTCCGTTATGACTTATGAACAATATATTTTTCAGTGCGAGTTTCCTATCTCGAAGTAGATGACATCCGAAAATATTTTATATTTTAGACAAACAAGATGCTCCAGTCTGGTGTCAACAACTGGACACCGCAAACCAACGAACTAACCATAGGCCATAATAGGAATTAGTGTCTCCTGGAATTGGATTAGAGGGGAAGGGAGGAAAGGAGGAATACTGTTGAGAAGAAGGAGAAGCATTTGATCATCATTTTTACATTGAGAGAGATAAAGGCATCATCAATCTTGAGTTCATAACACATTATCATGGACTCCATCATTCATCAAGTTTCATGTTTTTGTAGTAGAGGCATCAGCAGCAGCAGTAGCTAAATGGGTTGATTTTTAGGGTGAAAGCAGGGCAACGCGAGGCAGGTGAAAGTAAAGGGTTTGAAAGAGAGGGAGAGAGAGAGAGGAAGGTGACGAGGAGTACAAGAGGAGGAGGAGTTTGTGAATAAGTGCGTAATATGTATTTTTATGAGTAAATAAGATGCTCTAAATTATGACCTTAACATTGACAACAATACATTCGTATTATAGAGGCAGGATTGTATATTATATAATGTACATTGGATGACGGATATTAACAAAGCAATCATTTGGCAGTTGTTCTTCTTGATTATTATTCGTCCCCCTCTTCTTCCTCCTCGTCGTCATCTTCCGTCACGCCCAAGCATTTGCCACAGACAGGCTTCCCCTCCACCGTGTAAAATGAGGTCCCAGCAAATGAACTTTTACAATCCTTTACAATAGTACCACAAGGTTATACCGTCATTAACATTGATTAATTAATTGTTGCGCCAATCAACGTCATCACCACTCAATTAAGCTTCACAAAGCTTTTAAAAAACTCTCCAGTTGAAATCGCGATGTGATATTTGAAGATATTACGGTAGGAAGCAAAATGGGGACAAGATACTTACCCGACACACAAAACACTCTGGATGCCATTGAGCGTTCAACGCTGTGATGTAATTATCAGTGATAGGTTTGCTGCATCCACCACATTTCGGGGCGAACAAGGCCAAGTAGTCCGTTCGGCAGTAAGGCTTCCCATCCTTCTCATGGAATCCCTCCTGGCCAAATTGCTTACCACAATGGGCACAGAAAAAATGTTCCGGATGGAAATTGGTGTCCAAGGCGGTGACACATTTCTAAAAAGAAAAATAAAAAATAAATTGTTATAGATCCGACATGTTGATTAGATTGGGTAGAAGAATATAGTCCAGGAAGGAGAAAGCATATGTACATCCAAGATGGGTCCGTTGCAGTAGGCACAACGGGGCGAGTACAGTTGGTGATAGTCATCCTCGCAGTACGGCTGTCCTTCTCTCTCATAAAAGTTCTTGGACCCCAGTTCTGATCGACAATGGGCGCAACAGAAATGCTCCGGATGCCAAGTTTTGCCCAAAGCGGTCACCACCTGAAGGGGGCAATGGAGTGTTATATCACACATCGTCTCATCGTCCTCTTTGATCATAAAGAGATCAGTTTATTGTTTACCTGACCAACAATTGGTTTATTGCACGCGGCACAAACCCCTTTTTGGGTAGCACTGACTCCTGATTTATCCATGCTTGCTTGGAGGTTACCAAGCATAGAATCCAACTGTTGGGCCTTCTTTGGTTGCTGGACAAGGCTGCTCTCTTCCCTGTCTCTGATCTGCAAAAGTTTATAAAGTCCGAAATGTTATGGGATAGTCAAGATCAATGAACAATGTTTACCTAATCTCAGCCTAAGTATAATTCTTGTTATTATTACAAGTGGAGAGAGATGAGCTGATTTTCTGTCCTATGAACCACTACCCTCTACCTCAAATGCTACCTAAAGATCGACTCTACAAGACAGCAACTTGTGGTACACACGTTCCCGATAATCTGTTTGCATCTGACTGAACAGTTTCTCATGCAAGTCTACACAGAATCGAGAAGAGGACAGATTCGCAACTCTATACAATTTCAAAATCTTTCTTCAAGTGATGCCAGCCAAAACATGACATAATCTACTTTTTCAATGCTGCCAGCCGTGCATAGATAAATAGCATGTGTGTAGAGCTTTTATTGCAACTAACTACACGAGAAAAACGGAAAAACTAGTCTGTTCATGTACTACCTACAAGAACTCATTGTGATTATTGCTACTCTTATCACTTTTACTGTAGCAATCTGTTTCAAAACTCTGTCCCTACTTACATGTGAAACAAGGAGCTAATCAAATTAGCGAGTAATAAACTAATCACAGAATGTTGTACTGTTTAAGAAAAAGTGTTGTAAGAATGTATATATTATGTCAGTACGAACAATTACAAATTTCCCCACATATGCAGCCAATAAAAACAGAGACTGCAGTCTCATAAACATAAAATGCACCAGACGAAACCCAAGTAATATAAGTTTAACCCTTCAGTTTATTTAAAAATCAATTTTTTTTGTCACGAGTAGCTGTCACTAAAAAAATGTCAAACAAAGTTGAGACACGACTTCTTGAACCTCAAACAAACAAATAGAAAAGACAAGTTCTAGCTTCGAGTGCAAAACTTTGGGTCGGTCGTTGATAGCGTCCCTGACTTTGATACCGAAAATTCAAAGGCTGAGGTGGGTGGCTGTTGTCAATCGAATGCAAAGTGACAACCTGTCAATTGTACGGATTTCTGTCAAAAATACCGATCTTGGTGTGGTCTGTATGTGGTCTAAGTGACAAGTAGGCACTTTCACTTCGTACTCGTATTCTACTAAATAGCGATACAATCTCCCTACTAGTAATTAAGGACACGTTGGAGAGAAACGAGTGGGCAACCCTGTCTCAAAAAGTACCTGTCTCTGGGTGACCACTGCGACCAAGGAAAGCTAATTGACGAAGGCAGGAAGTTGCCCAGAGGAAAGAAGAGAGCAAAATGAATGGGGAAGTGCAACCATGAGACGCTTCAGCACCAGTCTCAACCCACACACCTTCCGAAGACGGACGGGATATCGTTTGGCTGCTACTGTTGGGAGAAATCGGATCGGAAAGAGATGATTATTCGAAGCAATTCATATGAGACGACTTCTCCATCTCCCACCCACCCCATTATCATCATCATCAACTCATCTCACCCTTATACTTGCACAGCCTTAACTTATTGCACCATGTACAGCAGCATGTATGTTCTTCTTCTTTTTGCACACGGTCCTTTTTCCAACCAACTCGCACCTATTTAAGTCTTATCCACTCGCTACTCTCTCAGGAAGTGACTGGCAACTCAAAATAAAACTGTCCCAGTTTCTCCTTCTTCTTCTTTTGCAGCCTTAGCTTTTCGCTCTTTCTCTCCATCCACACTTGTGCAAGTGATACATATTATTATTGCACAGCCATAAGACATGTATGCATGTGCTAAAGCAAAACCATTCCAGTAGCCTCAAAGAGATACACGACACGACCAACATCATGAGATGCACAAATAAACCTGTGACCTTGATTCTCGATCAACTGGAGTAGTTTCCTATGACCAAATTTGAATTTGAGGCTTAACGCCAAAGCGTGTCTTCTTGATTTGACTTGAACCGTTCAGTAGAGCAGTGATACATAAATCTGCAACTGTCTTATCTTAAGACTGTCTATCCATCATCGAATCGAGCTTTAACACCCCCAATATTTATTTAATTTTGTCTCAAATTGCATTCAGCATGCAAATGTCTGGTGATACAAATACAAGCAATTCTCCTCACATGAGAACAAACAAGGCTCGATATCTTTTAGGGTTGTGAGCGTGATGAGTGAAAGAAAACCACACCAAAACCAAAACGGTTAACCATAAACACACAACCAAATACGACGTCTCAACCCCACGACCTCCTCCTTTCATTTAATTATCTTCACCACTAATTGGTCGCATTAAATCGGTGAGGTTGATTTTATCTCCTTGTGTAAACTGAGTTATTTTATCGGGAAGAACAAATGTCGACTTAAATTAATGCCTGTGTGCCAAACACAATGACACGTTTCCCGATTCTGTGCAAAGACCGATCGACTCTAATAAAATAGAGTGGATCGAGGATCTGATGGGATGAACAGCTCAAGTTTCATCAGGAGAAAACCTCAAAATTGCCTATATTGCATTACCTTTCGTCATGTAATCAACTGAAAACTCATGAAACGAGAAATTATCAACATTTACAAACATGTTTTTCGGACTTTTATGCACTTTTTTCTCGCTATTGTGATTATGTAACTCTACTGAACCTTAATGGTGATGGTTTTAAAGTTTCAACATTGGTTTGATAACTAATCCACAGCATCATCCAAAATGAGAGCTTTGAGCCAATTGCGTTAAAAACAACTTGGCGAGAAGCCACATTGAAATGAAGAGACGCATGAAAGTACGCAACTGAAACAACAAACTTAAAACCTCTAGGTCTCCTTGCAAAAATTTGCAAAATATTATTAACAAATTGATTATAAGAAAATTGCAAACTCAAGAGGTGAAAATCCAAGTCAATTATACCTACTTTTCAAAATTTTAAATAAAACACATGAATTAATGAATTCACTTCGATAAAAATGTTTTAGCCAACGGATTATACTAATTTTAGCTACATTTTTAGTCTGCAATGAAATGGATCATCGAAAAATCAAAGCCTTCACCAAAAACAAAAGTCTACGTGCCAGTTTATCGTCTCAAGTGTACGAGACACTTGATAGACTAGTTTTGGTTTAATAGTTTGACAAGCTGCTTTTTTGATTTTTACTTCACCATGCAGTTTTACTGCCTTCTTGCATGGTCTCTGGCTAAGTAGCCTATCAAAGATTTGTAGGTTTGTGTACACACATCACTTTCTTCACTTTAGCAAATATGGGCCTGATGCCATAAGATCGCACAAACACCCGTCAACCGTGGTAATCCTTGGCATGAAATCCAGCTCTTGTGATGACGCGCCGAATTATAATATTACAGATGAAGCAACAGTTAATTCAATCAATTACGCCGAAAACTATATCCAGCAACACAGTGCTATTCCGATTTCCTTGCAAAAAAAGTAGGTATGAATATTATTACAGGAATTATTACCTTGACCTGGATGCTGATGCGATGTTGGGTGGTGGATGTCTTTCACACAGACACAAATCAACTTTTTTTTTCTACCCGACACCTTTCCAGATGAAATCTTTTGCACTGCGATGATTTTCTCCGAATGAACAAAATATCTGACCAGCACGGACAAAAGCAGAAAAAGAAATGACACAGAAGCAGCAGTACAAGGCGACTTTTCCTGGGTCGAATTCATTGAAGAAACTCATCATCCATTTATTGATTACCTTAATCAAATCTGATGGCCTTCCTGCTCTTTCTCGGTTTTGCAGACACCATAAACATCTCTCTTTCTCATTCTACTTAATCTTTAAAGCCAGAGTTAATGTTCTGAGTCAATTTAGTTATTGCAATTTTAGGCATCACATTTGCATTAATCTAGTCCTACGTCCTTGGAAATTGTCATTCAAATCATCATTTGTTATGCTCCAGTCTCTTTGGACATGCATGAAACACATAAAATGTGGCATTAGAAATGCATTATCATAGGTCATGCACTAATTTTTGCAGAGCCATAAACATACACAACGACGACATCAAGCTACCGAAACGATTGCTTAAGATTAGTGCACAACAAATAATCATTGGAGCTGCGGGGGTGATGAATAATGGCAGAAGCTGATACGCGTATAATAATATCATGCCGTACCTATTTCCTCTTCTCCAAAATGTCAATATGGCCTGTTCAACGAGATATCTTGATCATAAAAGGTCCCGAACATATTTATTTTCTTAGTCCGTTTGACAAGATGCTGTGACAGTCATCAAGTTTTTTTGACACTAAACACTGTGACGAAAGTGACGACGACCAAGTTTGGCAAGCAGCATATGAGTAAATATACTTACGAGAAAATATAACAATCATGCACTAAAATATTATATTATCCAACAGAGAATAATGGGCACAGAAATCAACGTCTTTTCAATCAGTCACAGAACCTCTTAATTATAATAATTACTATGTATTTCAGCCGAGGGTAGGAGTATGTGTTTTTAATGTGCACCTTGATATCAAAAATCGAGTATAATAACAATACCGCAGAAATTAATAGTTGGTGGACATGGAATAACAGAGTCTCTACTGCTTGCCAATTCACATTTAAAAAACCTAAACGTAACAGAGGATATGGTTTGGCATATGGTTTGAAACAACTATGTTGATTTAGTTCCGTTTACATTTGCAAAAATTTCGCACAAACACTTTTCATAAGACATTAAACGCAGCCCTGATTGACTTGTTGGATGCTCTAGTTTTGCTTTTCTTCCATGGTCTGTAGGCATTCAATAATATTCAATTCCGCCCATTCGTCTGTTAGTTTATGACTTGTGGTCCAACCACTTAACATTTCGATATTGAAGAAGGAGGGAATAAGCAGTGTTACGTCTTGCGAATTGATGATGAAGGTTGTTGTTCTGTAAAATTTCTCGGGTTTCGCGAGTGTTAAAAACAACCCAAAACAACTCTGCTGGACTGGCAACACAACTCTCTGGCAACGTTACCATTTAAGGATGCGAAGCCAATTGCAAAGTACACGGATTTCTCAGAACAGGAAAAATTCAGGATTTTTGCAACTATTTTGATTAACACACACTCGTATAATGCAGACCATGAAACAGAATATCGTAATAAAATGTAAAAATTAGATTGATCCCGAGGCAACACACTGCAACTGAGAGCCCACGGGGGATCATTATAAGTAAGTAGAAATCTTGTTTAATTGCGTTTCATATCCCCTCTAGATTATTATTAGTACGAACACGAAATTTACACAATCACCTAATGTCATCTGATATCCCAGTTGAAATAAAACACCCTGTCAACTCACTCAACTATTCAAACATCACTTGTTGTTCTACCCCCAATGATTCTAGCAATAGATATGCATACTTAAAGTAATAATAAAAAAGTGCTTTAGAATGACCACGCCAAACCCCAGCCAGTGCAGCTAGCTAACCTTTAGTTAGCCATCCATCAAACTGATCTTCGAGTCATCATACAATTAATTTTATTCCTAAAACTGCTTCCAACATGGATAACTGACTGACACGGGGCACAACCCATGTAATTAAATAAGCACACTTAACACTCCACAGCGCATTATTCAGCAACGATGGCGCATCTCTCCAATGTGCTAACCATTCTAATTATTGCCACGTCCTAATAAATTCAAACAAATTGTACTATTCAAATTAGCATCGCAGGATGTGGGAAAATATCGCCTAACAAATTTGCTAATTTTAACCCACCATTAAACATTCAATCACTATTTAATAGTGATTTACGCTAACTTTTCTTGAACTTACTTTAACTTTTCTACCTAAAATTAAAGATTTTTTGTCATAATTAGACATATTGAACTGCTCCTACTTTTATAAGTGATATGTATTATTTAAAATAATGGTAAATTCTACATAATAATTTGATCAAACATACTGACCTTTGCGTCGCTTAAAGAGGCCATGAGGTCGTCGAGTTCCCTGGTGGCAGGGGATGCAGCAGGTCCTAAGAATGTCCTGTGAATCTTTCTCTCCACTGTAATTCTCGTCTTTCCATCTGTTTCATCTCTGTCAATTATAGTAAAAATAGAAATGTCATCATTTCGTCATCCTTTGTCAATCCCTCTTATCTATAAAGACCATGGGCAATTAAAAGCTGATCCGAAAATAATAACATGAGCAGATTTCATGCAGACTTTGACCAATGTCGTAGAAGACAAAGACGCATTGAAGTAAATTGTCGAAAAATAGCAGATGAAAGTAGACCTTATCGTAAACTGAACGAAATAAAACATACATTAAAATACCAGCATCTAGTACATAAAGTCACAATCAAAACAAATGACGCCACTTCTTCAACAAAATAAATAACCTGCACTAAGCTGAGCTTTGTAGACTAGGCAATAATACGCCAATGTAGTATTCGTTTTGCCACAAGGATAATTAAACAAATTCTCGTTCTACAATACGTAGCTACAGATAAGAATTTTTCTTTGAGTGGTGATGATGTCATGTTTCAATTTACATTTCATAACACGGCAGACAAAAAATCTTTGGAACATATCTGGCAATACTGGTAGTACTTGTCCATGCAAAAAAAATCTGCCATAATTATTTGTTGAAGATACAGATATACGCCCTCTATGTGATCATAAAAAATTTTTAATCATTTAATAAGACTCCAATAAATTATTTTGCATACCCATTAGCTAAATCTTCCAAAAATTCACCAGTCGTGTGACGCTCTTGATGACTCCCCAAAGAAGACCTCGAATTTGGTCGATTTCCATTGTAAACAAGCTCTACAATAGAAATTTAAAGGTTACATACTATTACAAAGTTATAAGTAAGTTATGATCAAGGACAACCCCACAGAAAGAAATATTCCTTCTACTCCTCCAATCGCTTAACTATTACATTTAAGCTGTGATTGCTGAGGTAAAACGCTGTCGTGGAAATTATGTAAAGTCTTTAATATATTGAAATCAATCAGTTTCCTAATTTGAAATTGAGAGCATTATTATTTTAAACGTACACATGTACTACTATCAAAGTTACTCTCATATACAGCAACTTATTGTGAATTTATTCAAGGAACGGCATCAAAAATACGTGTATTCCGGTATTTCATATTTTTAGCAATACAGTGTCATAAAATGTATAATTTCAGCGATTGGCAGACACGGAGTCGTATATCTTGAGTGTGAACAACACGTTTTTCCTTGAGAAATCAAAACTTAACAAAACAAGTCAAGTTTGTTCAGATTGGTAAAAAACGTGATATTATATATCGTGAATACCTCTGGAAACAGAAACGGGCGAATTTTGACTATATTTGGAAGTGGCACTCAAGTCCTGAAGAAGAGAATCCAGCTCACTCATGTTCCCAGTGTTTCTAATCAGGGGACTATTAGACCTATACAAAGTCTTTGTACTTGTAGTCTCTCGCAAGGCATCACGGTTCGGTGCCACGGCCTAAATATTAAAAATTCAAATTAGTCACTCCAATAAGGAAATTCAATTAAATACTAATTCCGAGACACTTTCAATTTAAAAACTCACTATTATTCATTTGTTACCGACAACTACTACCGATATCTCTTTGCTGTTTAAACACCAAGTTCAAGTTCATACTATCTCCAGAGTTTTGAGGTGTGGTTGCCCAACTACATAACTTTTTTGCATCTTTCTGAACAGAAACCGGAGATTTCATAAGTATGTATATGGCGATGAGTAAATAGGGAAGCCTAAATCTGGGACATGGAAAACTCATAAAAACCAATCTTCCACAGGGAGTGACTGGAGCTAAAAATGCATTAAGACCGAGACGATTCTTTCAAGAAGCCGCAGAGGAATTTCTCAGAACTCCAAGAATGAGCATACTGTGTAAGTACTCCGCATATGTAATAATTTACAACGCAAGCGGGTTAAAAAGTACAAACTACGGTGGCTAAAGGGGGGTTGAAAGTAGTTGGAACCAAACTAAAGATGAAATGAAGCAACCTTTGGAAAATAAACTTTTATGTGGTTCATTTCCGCTTATTTTACAAGGTTAAGTCGTACCCATAAATCATACGCTTCGAATGCAAAATCACATTGACAATATTTACTAGACCGACCTAATATGTAGTTAAAAGGAGTTGTAAAATTATGTCTTTTCCTTTCTAAATATGTCTTTTCCCGAAAACGGCGCAGTGTTCTACTTATTAAGATGTTAAATTAACAGATACTATTGTAAGTACATTAAAAGCCAGATCTTGTGATATATGCTTGTCGATTTTGTTTTTTCTTCGTTTTTATGCATTCCAAGTGAGTTTAAAAATTGAATTTGCCCAATATCTCAACTTACACTTCGTTCTACATTGTAGTCAAATGTTTCGTTCTGCTTAGCAAGACCTGTTGAAGTCCCATTGTATGTTGATGAATATCCGCTAGACCGACTTAAACTTCCTGGCGGAGATGATACCGTCGTTTGTAAATCCGCTAATAGAGCATCTGGAATTAAGAACATTTATTAAGTTAATAATTAGCTGTGCTCCATTCAATAAAAAATAGAAAGTCATACTGCTAATCTGAGATGAATTAAATGAGACGCATACAAAGAGATGGTGTAATACAATGTGATATACATACATACTAATCTGGCTTTGTTTGTATAAAACTAAGCGACCAAATCACAATCTGTATCGTAAAGCGAAACGACCCTGACCACGACCACACTCTTGTCCATAATCTCCCATCGCCACGCTCTCTTTTTGCAACACACATCCAGTAATAGCCCATCTTATGCGAATAATAGGAACGAGACGAGTCTGATGATGAGATTGGTTTATCGTTGGGTGGACCGTAATTTCAGCCCACGCACATTCTGCATATTTATATCTAATAAAAATCAACCAGTATACATAAGTATATACGCAAGTCAAGCTTGATTTCATCCCAAAGAGTTGGTTGTGTTGCAAATTAGCTACGATTGATTTCGATCTTGCTATGTACACACTTGCTAAATTATGCAATCCACATAATAAAAATATTCGCATACGCTAGCCGCACTGGCCAGAATAATTGGCCGGCTAGAAATAGATATTTATAGACAAATTTATTAATTTATTCTATATACGAATTTGTAAAATAGTAAAGTAGTAAAGAAACTCGTGCATATTTTTCTTGTTAAGCTTATTTGCGGTCTCAATTTAATTTTCATTGCAAATTATTTTAAAATCAAGTAATGATCAAGGTTGTGCTGACTTTGTAAATGAAAGTTAATTTACAACAAACATGCGTGCGTTTGCATAATGATATTGTCACAAAGATACTGTCGCCCTTTTCTGAATTGATCGCATCATTACTCCAATTTGACCAGATTCTTAAGGCGATAGCTTTAAATGGCATTGAGAATGTATGTACCCACCGCAAAGCAATAGTACAATAAATGAATGCAGTGTAAAATTGTCATTCGTTGTGATGCATGTTTGTCACCACCGAACTCACGCATACTCGCCCTAATTGCATAACATGGTAAAAACTAATCATGTAAATACCGCATCTGCTACCTGATTGCTGCTCTAGAGATGTGACATGATTCAATAATTGTTGAATTACCTGCAGAAGGCATTGTGAAGTGAAAAAAATAGTTTGCCAAATTCCAAATATTATTTTGCAAAATAATTCCAGTCGCAGCAATATTTTACACAAAACTATTTTAAAAACTTAAATAGCTACTAATCACACGCAAAGGTTTGCACAGTTATTCCGTTTCAAGTTTCACTCAAACTCGTCACACTTCACAAGAACAAAGAAAGAAGAAGACATGCAAATATTCCATCAATTTGAGACTTTACTTTACTCGGAGACTCGACTAAACAGACTGGGAGAGAGAATGTTGTTTTTCTTCAGCAAATGACTTGATAAGACGATATAATAGCCTGAAGGACCTGCAGTTCATCACGACGGCTAGAAAACCACCATACATCCATCCATCCATGCATGTATGTAGGTAACAACAACTAGCCCACCTTCCATATAAGGGCACGGGCCAGTCGAGGGATCGATCTGCTCATGATGATTACGAGAATATGCGTAAGAAACAAGAACCAAATTGAAACTTCTCAATAATAAGTAAGCAAATAACAGAGTAAGATATGTGATTTTATGAAGGGAGACAAGAGAACGCCATGGGAGGGGACGGCAAAACAACAATAATTATCATCGTCACATAATTTCATCCATCTCAAGTAGATTCGAATTCCTAATGATATAATTAATGTTGAGCTTTCACAGCAAGGCAGGCCCTCCACATGCAGCCTTGATAATCATGGATAAGGATGGATGTCCATAACCACGGCCTTCTCATCCTCATTTTTCTTCAGTCTCTCCCACACGTGGAGGAGAGCGAGGTGCCAGAAATCAGTAGAGCGCCCGGATTCCTTTAACAAAATCACAGGTGACAAACACTCATCGCCCACAATGATCGCCACCAAATATGCCTTGTGCGAGAGTAGTAAAGTCGTTTGTAAGACAAGGTCTGCAATCCATAAATGAACAAGTACTACATACACACGCATAATATTACACTGCTCTCTTGAGATTTAGATATGATACTGGCTAACTTTGGAATATTTACTACTCACCTACATTTCTGAGATTGTCTACATTGTAGAAGAGGAAGGATTATGTACATACTTCACGAATGCGTCTCGTCTTAAATATTCACCAACAGTCAAGTCAACCAACGCATGGTGATCGACATATTGTTGCTTGTATGCAATCTGTTATTTTTTTACTCCTCTAATATTGCCAACATGTGAGCAATAAATACATACATGGGTGAAGTGGGGAAAAATCATTATGCATACCCTCAATTGCATAACATATGTGTGAATGAACACGCATGAAATCCTTATAAATACGTCAAGTTAATTAATGCACTAAATAAGTGTAACTATTATTAATTGACAAACTTAAACTTCGTGTGACATTTCTTCATGGATATATCAACACTCTGAAATTCAGAGTCTGAATGAAAAATATACTGCGAATTTTTATAACCACTACAAACTAAACTATGTGCAACTAGGTTGCCTCATGTACTTTCACCCACACTGACTTTGACCCACAAGAAGAACGTGACTCTTACTCAAATATCCGTCAAATTCTTGATTGCTATTTTTCTGCTGGCGGCTTCCAGGTCGACTTCCTGTCGGACTTGCCAAAGGGCTTCGCTGGCTCAGGCTCACTCTTGCCCCAGGTTTCGACAACATTGGATTATATTCTCTGGTCTCGTAATTATTCGAAAATTCAGAGTAAAAAGCCGTGGATGACTCATCCATCTCACTTTCCCTCGTTTCCACCTGGATCGGTATGACAATAGCCCCGTCGTCACTTGCCATTTTTTCCTGTGTTCTTATCTCAGCTTTCCACTTTCACTTTTACTTTCACACAGATAATGTTACGCTACCCAGGTGATGATTCACCTTATTTTGACACACACAGTTTTTCTCTGCTTCCCTTGAATCTCGGCACGATTCGTGGTTTTTGTACGTTCAAAATAAACTGTGCTACTTTCGATAAGTCAATCGTTGCATGTTCCCAACACTCTGAACAAAATGGGATGTTACAACAACCGCGTGTTGTTATTCAAGGTTTATTTGAGGAACAACGAAGACATCCGAAATCCCACAAGTCGTCGGATATTTATTTTGGACCGGAACCAGTGATAGATCAGATCAGATCAGTGGGAAGAAGAAGAAGAACGAAATCTAAATAATTTGATGAGTGTGATTTGCTACCCAGGAACTCCAGAACGATGAAGAGAAAGAAACCAACGTTGACGATGGAATAATGTTTTTTCATTCAAGAAAACTGGGACAACTTTGATGATGATGTTGATGATGATGCTTCCGTTGCAAAAACTCCTTAATGCTCGGAAAAATAATAGTGTGTAGGTAGTTGTAGATTTCCTACGTATGAGCAGTCAATATATGCCAATCCACGAACAAATTTTGCTTCACGGGTTTCTTCCTCCTTCATAAATAAATCCAATACAGTTCAGTACACAGGCTTGTTCTTCATATGTATTCACGAGATATCCCACATTTAATTCGCCACGAATGATAATGAACATGCAGATGATGAGAAGAGAATCTTTAGTTTCGCTGATATAATGACGAGACACAGAAGTATGTATCGCAGATAGAAAGATGATGATAGTCAACACCGCAAAATACAATGTATAATAGACGACAGTGTAAAGTGTAAAAGTTTAATAACGCAAGGCTGACTCTGACACTGGGCCAATGCCAAAGAACTGTCGGAAATGGTCCAGATATGTATTCGGATTTCTGATAAAAAAAGTTCCACTTCTATGAGCACTCACTTCCAATTACGACTACCTTTCTTTTTCAAAAGGCGCTGGGAAGTTGCAACATTTGATATCTGTTGTCCTCTGGCTCGCAAGATCCGAGAGCGCAATAACAGGCTACTTGTAGGCACATTAGTGCTAGGTAATATTTTAACGTGCAAGATAGCAATAGTATGCAATGCATGTGGGGATGTATAAAATCACTCTGTCACTATGATGTACACATTCGCAGACGGGAATCATCGGTGGGAGAGAGCAGTTGCTAAACTTGAGTTGGGAAGGTTGGAGGACGGACGGACGGATTGGATAAGGATGAGCAAACTGAACCAGATAAGATACGCTCTTCTATGTATGTGTATCTAGTGGTGCGTGGATGTATGTATGTACGTATGTATTAGCAATAATATGGTGTTTACTCGACATCTGATGCAAGCCAAAGATAGATCAAGGACTATAAGAGAGCAAACCCCAACAATTTCACGAAACCACTACTTCCCCAACGGAGTCCCTGAGCAATTTAACAACTTCTTTTCAGTTCAGTGTCAACCTTAAAATGTTAAAATCCTATATGTAAGGTCAAAACACTTGAGGAGAAAAAGACAAATGGCAAGAATAAGATAGACGCCGGGGTGCATTCCTCAGCTTGATAGCTCGCTCGCAGCTCCAGTATCTTTTCATACCAAATTTGGATGCGGGTCGGTTGAAGAAATCAATCAATCTCGTTTTATAACGATCCAAATGTCTCAACATTAAGGATATTTGATACGGTGCAACGCAATTACTCTTTCGAGATGTGAGACTTGTCTCCGAGTTTTATATTCCTGTCATATTTCAAACAAAAATATGTATGATAACCGGTAAAGTGCTGACTTCATGATGGGGGTCTGGTTTCATCAGCGTTAGAGCTTTATAATTTACATATACTTTCCACGTTCATTGGTCAACGTTATAACCATTTCAATGGCATGCATAGTGCCATGGACTTCTGCATGTAGATAGCTCACTTATAACTAAACAACAAAATGTAAAGTTTTCGTTGATAGATTATCATTTTAAACTATTCATATTATACTTTTAAATCATTTTTATCTAGACGTTAACTTACTGCATCTATAAAATCAGATGCATATGCACTCAAACTTGAAATTGTAAAATCAGCGATGTGAAGGTCAAGACAATTTTGGCATAATCATAATAATATTACCGATTTGAGCCTATTACCCTCCTCCAAACTAACCAAACAACATTATATTTTCCTCCAACTATGCATGCATTTCTATGTAGTCCAATGGACACCATCGGCATCGAGCTAGCGTAAATTTCAGGTTCCACACCACACTCCTCTTTATGCTACTTGTTGGGATGAGAATGTGTAATAAATCACAATTACATAAAACAGAATCAGATCTGATTGCAATTTGTGAAATCGAGAAGAGGAGCAGCCAGGAGTCTGTTGTTGCTGCCTGTCCTAACTTGACCAGAAGAGAACAACATCAACTGAATTCCACAAAAGATAATGACAGTCAGTACCACACACAGACAACCATCAATCAACAACAGTGTTTTTCAGAGAGCACATAACACTTGTAATAACCGTCATTTGGGAAGAAAAGGTGCTAAATGGACCGAGATAATGCAGCATTAATGAAATACACACAAATTTACATCACTCCCCTCGGCACTGACTGATGCATCGATATCACATTATTGTCAAACTGTATTTCAAGGCCGCCGTAAATTATGTACGAGCGATGCATAATACATTTTCTGTAGCTCATTTTCTTGCGATATAAACAAAAGAACTTGAATCAAGATCGATTGAAATTAACGACTATGTAGATATGTGAATGCAATATCCATACATCAAATAATAATGAGATGCTGATTTAGTATTTTTTACGTCGATAAATGTCACCAAGGATGAGAAGAAATATAAATACGTAGGGTGCATACGCATACCGTAATAAGAATGTAACAAGGTTTGAGTAGGTATCAGTTTAGGAGATTTAGTTAGATGTTGCATAAGTTGTAGCAGTATTGCGCCATGAGACGACAGACTGGGTAGATGTTATGTACATACATCGATGAGAATCAGCCACTAAATACATACGTAGGGCTTAAATTTTATGGTTGAAATAAAATCCCGACGTTTCTCTCTATATTTCAGCCTAATAGTATTAAGTAATCTCGAGACTGAGGTCATTCTCAGCATCAATTAATTCAAAATATCTAAAGTCGTACAACCATAATACATAATTCATTGCAAATTTTTGATTTCCGGCCAAATAATTTGGACAGTCAGGCTCATCACGTCGTTTCACTCTGAACTGGAAAATGTGCATCCGATGAACGATGTGCAAAAGTTTAGTAGATAAACGGTGTTTACCCAACTATGCGACGAACCAATTTATTTTCGTGAAGTTTAAAAACTCGTCGTCATTCCAAATTTTATACTCATTCACATCTGTTTCTCCATTTACTACGTACACAGTACATGGAAGCGTGTTGCTTCAAATGCAAACAATGTATTTTCATTTCAGACATGTGACGCAGTTATACTTTGTTCTTCCCGTAACTCTGTGCTTTCAAAATAAACCAAACATATTGTCCTCTGTTGCGCTCTCTAAAAAAGAAACGACTAAAATTACCAACTAAAACTTCATCCATCTTTGTACAGAAAGATTCTCTAAACACGTTTAATTTTCGCTGAGTACAAAAATAGTGCTGCAAAAATATTTCCAAAGAAATCAACACTAGATAAAAAATGCATAGGTTAGTGCAAAAAGTAAGGTATGTAAATATTGAACGATTCAAATGCAGCGATGTTGTTGTCAGAGTTAAATCGTAGTTGGTAAAGAGCAAACAATTAGCCAAGCTGACTATGCATAATAATGGTTGTGGAATCGTCGCTTGTGGGGGGAACATTTTTCTGATAGTTAAAAAAGCTAAAAACATGTCTTAAATCTTTTACAGTTGGAATGGAATGAGTAGGTAAATATTCGTGTCATTCCTCATTTTCACGGCCTTCTCATCAAATGTTTCGCTTGTAGGAAGCTATAGATTTGAGTAAAAAACATATTTGGGTTTTAAGGAATGTAGAGAAGAAGAACAGACACTGAACAAATATAGTAACAAAAGAACACTCGATATGTGTGACACTTGAATATATTGCTTCCAGCTTTACAATCCCATTATTTGAAACTAGTGAAAAAACAATAGAAACTGAAAACACAAAAGACATGGGGAGCGAAAGATAAAAGGGAAAGAGTTGATGTATGCATTTCTCCAGCTTTGACTATAATCAATGAAACATGGGACATAATCTACATAAAAATTTATTGTGAACATACACATGTACGTTTGTGATGATGTGATTATTCCATTCTGTTTCTCATCCAAAGTGTAGTTACTTAACATTCAAGTTAATTCAAGAGCATGGTACACCAAGTCGAAACAAAAGGCACTCGGCAAAAAGCAAAGTCATTTAAATTTTGAAGTGTGGAGGGGAGAGAGAATATCCGGAAGGAAAAGTACTTGTATTCCAGTTTCGAATAAATGTGTGTATTTTTAACTTTTCAAAACTTTTCATCCTTACTTGCACTTGTAGTTGGATAAATAAAAGAGAGGGGAGGATTCCACAATAAGAGTTAACCTAACCCTTGACATCGGTATGTACGACCGATTCAGGCACAGTAAAAAAGCACTGCCCGTGACAAAGTCACTAATCCTGGTATGCACAGGCATAGGTTGTTAAAATATGCATGTTAACAAAGTTTTCCATATTTATCAATTTTTAAGTTTGTCGACTTTTATGACGGCTGAGCATTTTCCAACCTTTTTCCCAGGACAAGGGATTAAAAGGGTCCTTTTGTTTTTATGCCTCATTAGAAGGGACACTTCGTTTGAGCATAACTCTGCGTAGTTTGTATGGTCACTTCTGACCACATATTATTACATATGTATGAATGTCTCCTATGTACTGTCAAAACCTTAAAACCAAGTTGTTTAATAAAAATCACCATCAGTCTAAAAATATCTTCCAGCGAGATCATTTTTACTTTCATGGTAGCAAAGCCGTTAGTTTGTATGATTCATATTGTTGGTCTCAACCTGCCTCATTGAGTGTCTCAAAAGTGCCACAGTCTCAGAGTCTGTTGAAGTCTCACAACGAGAAGAACTGTTTCTTGTTCAACACTTGATAAACTGAAGTATATCAGTGTTATTGTTGTGAAGTGAAAAGGTCAATTCATCAGTTAATAATAGCAGTAAGTCTCCACTGCCCAGTGCCAGTCTGGACGGAGTAAGCCTGTAAAAGTGTGCCGTGAATTGGACCATTGTTTGGACAAGAGACATCAACCCTTTGACTCTACCCGAAGCTGAACCTTCCGCCCGAGGACGAGTTTTATTGAGGACGACCACTCTACCCAAATCCTGAGTTCCCGTCTACCAAATCTCGACCTTTTTCGATTCTACCGCTCTTTATTAGGCAAAGAGAAGGTAACAAGTCTATTTCTGTTTTTCGCTTCTGCTTTCCCTACTCCACAACGACAAGATGACATCAACAATCAAAAGAATAGATGTTACGCACATTGTCAAGCTAGACGACACCAATTACGCGAGGTGGAGACTTCAGATAACTTTACTTCTCAAGTCACATGACCTGTGGGAAGTGGTCAACGGCACTACCCAACGACCTGCAGATGAAGCACAACAGCCAGCATGGGATAAGAAGGATATACAAGCACAATCCATCATTGTCCCCACTCTCAGTGCCACTCAAACAAATCATATTTATGACTGCGCTACATCAAAAGCAATGTTTGACAAGCTGAAAAGCATCAATTCAGATTCAAGCTCGCTTAACAAGCAACATACCATGGCTAGATTCTTCAATTACAAAATTGGCAAGAGTCAGTCATTGATTGAAGCATTTGCAGAGGTGGCAGAGCTGGGCAGAAGACTAAATGAAATGGGAGTCGTCATGCCTGAAGCATCCATTGTCACAAAGATTGTCTCAAGTCTCCCCGACGAGGAGTATAATGCCTTCAAAAAGGCATGGGACAGCGTTCCGGATAAGGACCAGAGCATGATAATGCTACTTGCCCGTCTGAAGAAAGAG